CATTTTTGTATAAAGGAAGCCTTTTTGATGTGCGTGTCATTTGCAACTTACCCCACAAAAATTAATTACCTTTCCGAAGAATTGAAATGCGTTTTTTATTGAAATTCAATGATTAATTCTCATTTGCTGGATCCGACTGTATTCCACTGTTCAATGCAATTAGTTTTCTGGTTATTTTCCAATTGACTCCGCATTCATTTGTTTTATGGCCATAATCAGAAGGCAAACAAACAGAGAACTGTATCTATGTTTAAATATACTATTAGATAAACACACTTTCCAACGCGATTAAATTATGGTGTAAATGTTTAACCAAAATTTCTGCGTAAAATATGACTTGGTGATAGAATTTAGGAGCATATGGCTAACGAATTTTGCGCGAATTTTTGATTCGTGTATTTTTTTTTTTTTTTGATACAGTTTCGATCGCGAGCCACAACCGCACGATAAAAGCTCACAAAGTCAACTGATGGCTATGGAAACTCGGCAGCCTGTTAATTTTTTTCTTTGCGTGCCGGCTTCTATTGATTCTCACACAGATACAAAGAGGGGCAGGCGCACTCGAACATACACACACACAACACACAGCACACAGAGCACAGTTATTTCTTTTATCTCGAAGAATTACGCATACGTCAGAGTGGGCGGGACGGAGGTGCAGATGACACGGCCAAAAAATCCAGGTGCAGCCCCACAAGAAATCTTAATCAATTTACCTTGTTTTCGTGGTGTTGTTAATATAAATCAATAAAAAAATCCAACACCAATTCAACTGGGAGTCTGGGCGTGTCTCGCCTGTTTCGCATATTTGTTTACTGATTATAGCTGCCACCCACCCAAAAAAAAAAAAACAGAACAACAAATTTTATTGCCTCCCCCTCAGCAAAATTGATACAGATAAGTGAAAGTTTCAATGTCTGCGTTTTGTTGAATTAGTAATTACCAGTTAATACCTTATTAAGTGGTTTCTAGTTGAGATTTCCGCGCCCACAGATTTTACCAAATCCAGACAGGCACTCCTGGTTGCAAAAGTTAAACCAACTACTTGGCATTAAATGTTTAATATGTTTCGAGGTCGAGGGCAGACAAAGTTTATTACCCCTGCCGAAAAGTTCTTCATTAGAATTGGCACCCTGAGAAGCCTTGTTTTAGTAAATCGTAAATTTAACTTAGCGTTCATAAGTGCTTTGCCAAAAAATCTTCATTAATTTTTAACTGGCACCTAATTTGCAGGGATTTCTATGACGTCCCTAGAAATTCACGTAACACTCTGTACAGTTTTGGCTTCCATTGTCGGGTAGCTAAATTCCCTTAAAGCTAAACAAATTGAATTTGCGAACAAAAACTCATCATGGCAGACACATGCAAGACAATGTCCATTATTGACCCACCTTTTAGGGTCCCAAACGAGCAGTGATTGTCTCTTAGAAAGACTGAAAGGCCCGAAGCCAGTAAGTCTTGCATACAGAAAAGAGTGCTGGACAAAAACCCAAAAACCAAGGAGTGCCAGAGGTTAAAGGTTAATAGGATTTAAAGTCAAACGAATAAAGAAGACAACTCACATACATTGGAAGCTTATTTTAAGATGAACTTTAATAAAACATGAGATTTTAATTGAACACAATAAACTGTGCAATTGCTTTAAATTGAAATAAAGACATTTTGCACAGGAAGAACATAAATATAAATTTCAATTTCGCTTCTCGCTCAGTTGTAATCCATTTAATTGCCATTCAATTACTTAAAATGAATTTGCAATTCGACTCGAGTTTGGTCAAACAATGTATCAACCAATTTGTTTGCAAAAAGTTTCCTCGCCAATTAAATGGCTTACAGTTTGTAGTTCAGTGGAAGTGCTTACACCAAATTCGTATCGAGTTCCACACATACTTAAGATTGTTATTTCAACAGATTTCAAGACGCTGGCATCATGGCGTCCATTAGAGCTCGTGTGCGAATTAATTTAAATACAAACTAATTTACCTAAATTCGCGTTATCATCGAGACCAGAAAAGTTTGCCTCAACTCGCAACTGAGTTGATCCAACAGGTCTGGCTCAGCCTGAACTCTGTAAATTTATTGAATTAATTCAATTATTACCTTACTTTATTGAAGCTTACTTTACCGAATGGAGCCTTCGCGAAATGCCCACCGACGAAGTTTAAATGCTTTGGGCCTAAAGCAGTTTTCATTTGCCCACGTCAAGTATCATTGAAATCCAATATAAATAGGTATATATCGCATTTTTTTCCCTTTTTATGTATATACAACAAGTTGATTGATTTACCTGTCTGGCTTTGGCTGGCTCTTTGATTATTTGACTTGTGAAGTGTGCTTTTTATGGCCTCCTCTTCCTGAAATCGAGCGAATGAAAATGCCCAAATTGAGGTTTATCCATTTCGGATTCCCATTAAATTGCCGCTCAATCCAACAATCATTGACTTTTTGTTTGCCGCACGTTTTTTACGCATATAATTAAATGCATTTATGCATCAATTCTGCTTCGCTGCAAAACGGCAAATGTTAACAAGCGATTTGTTCTGATTTATGTGTAATAAATTACATGGCTTAATGCCAGCAGCGCTTTCGCTGCTCGCTCACACCGCACTTATCGATCTGACTCTTTCTATTCCTCTTGTTTTCTGTTAATGGGAAACTCAAACAAAACAAAGCGCGATATGATAATGATTTTGAATCATTTATAGTCTGGTTTCCTTCCGATGGCACGTGCTAAAGTCATCACTGGGTGGCGTTTGTGTTTGTCTGCTCTGCAGATACAATTTACGGCTGGGTATCGGAGTAATCAGTCAGCTAAATCAGGTTTTCCCATTTCACCCAAGTAGTATTTTATGATCTTTGGACTTGGGCAAGCCGTCTTACCCATTTTTCGGTAAAATATCTGAAGCACGTGGCGCCCGCTCAGGTGCTAATTGGTTAAGCATGCCAAATGAACTGGCTTTAAGAAAAAAAAAACTCACAAAAGGCACGGTCTATACAAAATTAGCCAAAGTCCACCAACCTAACAATATACAACGAAAGCGAGTTTTGAAATATACTATGTATTATTTGGCACAAAAGCTTTGAAACGCCCAGAAAAAAAGGATCTAATTGTTTTTTTGCACGAGTTTGTATAGTATAGAAAAGTGTCCATTTTGTTAGTGCACTTTTTCGCAAAGCTTTAAGAAGAAAGTAACAACAAGTTCGCTTTCAGTTGTTGACATTGAAATTCTGTTAATTTTCAAGGGCTTAAGGTCTTTGCTTTCTATTCTTACACCCTATAAAAATGTTAAACAATTTAGTTACACAAATTGATTCCAACCCTTTTCACAATGCAGATGTGAAACAAACCCTGACATACATAATAAATTTAATTCTGAACCTTTGACCCTTTTTCCTTGGAAAAGTTCGTTTAAAAGGGTAGATTTTCTTTGGCCCAAGCTACATCAATTTTTTTAGCAACTTAATTTCGAATATGCCTGTATATTTTATAGGAATGGGAAATGAAAGTCCAAAAAATCGCCCTAAGCTGATATGTATTTCCTGTTAAAGGCAATGAAAATCTTAAGAAAACTAATTTTTCCCCCTCCAAAGAAAAATTCTTCGAAAAGAGTGTAACTTTTATCCTTTAGCAACTATTTCTATTTCTCTGATTTTTTGTCACCTTCACACGCTATTTAAGCTACTGGGAAAGTTTGTCCAACCAATTACCACACTTGGTCTTTTAGTTTCGGTTTGAAGCAGCAGCTGTGGCAAATTATGAACTGCCATATAAAAGTTGCTTCATTTTCCGCAAAATACCCGAAGAGAAGACTGACTTTTCCGAACTGATAGGAACGAGGCGAAAACCAGCTCTTCGTGAAGGCTATTTGCTGCAGAACTCTGTCTTTAAATTGTACAACAATTTCTGAAAGTGGTTTTCAACTGAAGCCCTTTTCATTCCACTTGAAAGTTTCCTTTGGCTTCCTTTTGTGGCTGGCACCCTTTAATATCGAGCCACGTCAATAGTATACAGAAATTGCAATTTTGTTTTCGGTTTTATTGAATTTTATTGTTTTTCTTCTGTTTTCTTTTTTTTTTTTGCGCCGGAGGACAGGCCAACGAATTGTATATGTGCCAGGCAAATATTGACGCTAAACAAACTGACGCAGTGCTCATTTATCCAATATCCAGCAATTATGTGCAATAATTTTTGCATTATTTGTTGGCGTTGTTATTGTCTTTCCGAGCTGCTGGTTCTTTAATTAAAATGTTGTTAACATTAGATTTGAACGGCTGATGCGGCGTTTAATCCGCTAGGCAAATAAATATTTTCATTTCCCCCTCGGGTCAGATATTTTTATCGGGTTTCTTTATTTCCATTTATTGTAGTTTGCGCCGCTTAATTATTTCTATTTGCTTTTAATGTAGCCCAGCAATAATAAACAGTGCCAAGTAAATGAAGACGAACACAATAAACGTATTCTCCCCATTTCATTTAATCATAACTTCTGTTTTTTTATGACCTGAGAATTCTGTTTTGATGCCTGTACCTATTCTAAACAATTTAGCAAATAAATTTCAGAAAAATTCCATATGAAATGTTTGTACTCCTCATATTTACATACATCTCAAGTTATGTATCTCTGGTTCTTCGCTGCCGTTATTGTTTTTATTTTTATGACTGCACGGAAGCAAGCGGCGCATTCAATGGAACCAGCCAAAAGCGACAAATGAATGAACAAACAGATTAAAAATCACAGATTGCTTCGGTGGAAAATTCTGTATGCGGAATGTTTTTCCGATTTTTTGTCATTTGTATTTGCTTGTGTTTAAAAGAACAACAAAAATCAAGATCAACATTTTAATTGTTTTTTGTTGCCTATTAAAGACAGGAATTCCATTTGATCAGCCTTTTTACGATTGCAAAAATGTTCTTCTTTGAAAAAGAAATTTGTTGATTTTAATGGAATTCAGCAATATTTTTATTGAGTTGCATTCCCTAAATAATTACCTGAAAGGTAAAATCGTACAAACAACATTTAAATTTTAAAAATTTTCAGTGTTTTGTATTTCAACTTAGCTTCTTCGGTTTAATTAATTTTCTTATTACCTCAAATAAATTGTTGAAAAATATAGCTTTCTTTAACAAGGGAAATCTATTAGCTTATCAAAAATTGCTCTCAGCTCATGCTTTACTGCCAAAGGAAGAACTGGGGGCGTTTTTCCAGGGAAAATTCAAGCGAAAAGTTTGCTTCACTGCATTTACGAGCTTGCAGATGCCAAGGGGGAAATCATAAACATGACTTTACTTTACTTTACTTAAAATTTAAGACAAAGTAGTCAAGATGCAGAGACTTTGTTTGGCCGCAAAAACTTGAAGAGATTTGGTCTGCGTCGTTGCAGTTAAAGTGGCTCTCCAAATATTCCGGCTCTGAGGTTATTTCGTCTTTGGAGATATGTCTTCGCTAATAAATGGTTACATATAAGTTTTACGATCTTTTTGTGTTGGTTGTGTGTTGATTTTGATGCGTGCCGGAGCGTTACATTTGGTTAAGTTCTTGGCGGTCTTCGCACATGACTGTTTTTAGCCAAAAGTGGTGCGCACATAGCCTGCAAGTAAAGAGAGCGGGTAAAACACGTAAAAAAGTTGGCAACGCGAGGCGGCCAAACAAGTTTCATAGTCAACTTTTGGGTAGAAGCTGCAAAAATGCAATTAATTTAGGCAGCAGATCAGACAATAACACACATTTTTACCAGCATGCTGCAGCACTTAGAACCGAGAGCATGAATATGAATGACAAATGGGCAAATTTGAGTGTGCAATTGGGCGTGTCCGCAGGTAATTTGAATGTCTCATGGAATTGTAACCTAGAAGCAAATTAATTACGCGCCAAGCCAAAGCGACAACTTACTCGTGAAATTAGTAGCAGTCGAGATTAAATGTATGTTTTTTTATTAGTTAAGAGGGGACGGAGAGAAGCGTTAACAAAAATGCGATAACAAGGAGACACATAAAAAGCACAGCATTAGTTATAGCCACGATAGGAATTTGAGCCATAGGCACGATCCCTGGATAATGGCAGGCCATAGCGATCTGTATCATCGTAGTAGCCATAACCGCGATTCCGCTGGCCCTGATAATCCCGCTGCCAATAGCCCGAATATTGCCTTAAACCTCCATTACCTCCGTAACCGCCATAGCCGCCATATCCTCCTTGGGAGCCCAGGATGTTCGTGGTGGGATAGCTGCTGGTGGGATAGTTGTAGCCCTGGGTTGAATAGTACGTGTTGGTGCCATAGCTCGGATAGTAGGTCGAGCCATATCCCGAGCCTGGATAATATCCCGACGATCCATAGTAGTTCGTATTGTAGCCGGGATAATAGCCGGTGGTCGGGCGATTGTAGTTGTAGCCGTAGTTAGGATAACCAGTACCAGTTCCAAAAAGATTAAATACTGCAAAATGTACGGCGAAAAAGTAGAAACAATTATTTTAAGTAAGTTTGGTTTTGCACGCAGAAAAGAAAACAAGAAAATGTTTTTCAAGTGACAATCCTATTGACTTTAGATTGCTAAATTTACAATATGAACAGGAAGCTCATAAGAAACTATATTTGAACCCACAGAAAAAAAAAATCAATTTAAATGCATAACTGATACTATTCTCCCTCCCAATTTATTTACTCACACTTGGCTGAAGTCTCGGCGGTGGCCAAATCACCTGTCGTCCTGGCCGCCGTTTCGACCCGGTTTTCGGGAAGGACGGCACTCCAGACTCCGCTGACGGCCAACTGAAAAGTCTCTTTAGGGTAATCTACACAAATTGGATATCGCTCAAAGCACTCACCATTAGCGTAAATAGCTTGATGAACATGGCAACTATATTTGCAAATAAAACAATCAGAAAGAACACCGTCTGAAAAGTTACCGACAGGAGGGCTTTGGAAACCAAGACAACTGCTTGGCCCGGTTGTTGGACGTTAAATAATTCTGTTTCTCAGACGAGGGGCCAATTTATATTTTTCATTTTCCGGCTGAGTTGCTACGCTCAAGTTGAAGCCGCTGTCGACGTCGAGTTTGTAGAGACAAACACCCCGAAACCGAAACAAAACAAAGCCCCCAGCTCTCGCACTTGTCGCACTTTTGTATCTCACTTGGAAGCCAAGCTCGGTTTTATTACTCATACGACACGTTGCTGTGGCCAAAGCGAAACTCCGGCTCAACAAAAGGTGGGAATCCAGCCCTAAAGAGTTCTACCCATTCTGAGCAGCCAGACAGATACTATAGCTTTTCTGCCAGCGATTGTGATTACACATTATTATTATTAATTCGAGTAATATTCTCAATTACACGAGGCAGGTGACAAAATAAATGCCCCATCTTGCCAGTGCGTGAGTGGAGTTTAATTTTACTTATTTGCCTTTGCGAAACTTTGGCAAACACAAATAGCAAAGCTGAAATAGAAACAAAAAAAAATAAAACAGAGGAAAGCCCCGCCCCGGTAAACCATTGAATATTTACCCTCGGTTCACAGATCGCATTTCTTTCAAGTTTCACCGCCATCCCGCAATGAATGAGAATAGCCGAGTGCTGCGAGCCAGGTCTCGTTTGTTTAGTATATCTTTAATTCCAATTATCCACAGAGAGTTTGTTGTCCAAATATTTAACCTATATGACTTTTTGTTTTGTTTTGTTTTGCTTTGTGAACTTTTATGTGCTATTTTCTTGCATAATCGCCGGTAATCTTGCCGCCTACAGAACATACACTAAATATTTCGTAATATTGAAAGACCTTGAGTAGTTGTAAGCTCATTCATAAAACTCTGGTTCCAATACTGAGTAGAAAGCTTGGCAATTATCTGGAAGTGTATTTGTGTTCACCCGAATTTTGACCTCCAGATAAGCCCTCAACCAACCGAAGAGTTCACAGCTAGAGTTGAAGATACAATGTGTGAAAAGTATCGGCTATTTTGCGACATGCGGGTATTGCAACTCTTAAGTTATTTGCCTAGCGTAGTCGTAAAATGTATCCCAAAACTGGGTTACAAATTGGCCCAAGGTAAAATTGGCATAGGCTCAAAAAATAAATAATAAAGAACTCTCTGTGTTTTCATTTGATATCCATATTTTAACGAAGACAAAACAAGCAGGTGGTGATTTAATAAATTGTGGCAAGGATTCCAACCTTAAAGGTGTTTTATGAGCATAAATTCCGTTTCATACTTTCCTTTCAGAACAACAAAAAACGCAAAACAGCAGAATAACAAAAAATAAACAAAAGTCTCCATTTCACTCTGGCTTCATTCGATGTTTTTGTTATTGGTTTCAGGGCTTTTTGCACAGAGCTGGTTTGTTCATGCATTCAATCCACTCAAAATGGGAGAAAAAGGGGGCTTGTACATATTTAAGAAGGGGAAATTCTGTTAGGAGATATTTGATGCCCGACAGCCTTTTGGGTATCACGAGCGAATGATAAATATAATTAAAAGGAGTCGCCTACAAAGAACCCTCAAAATTGTGTATCTTTGCTTATGAAATACACATTTAACAGAATAACGCAAATATTGGTTTTGATTCATATTTGTTCAAGGTTTTTAACAGGCCTTTTATACCTTGAATACCTCTTAATTTGAGTCAAGCGTCGATGAGTGCGGCACCCACAAGTCATTATAAACATAATTTTCACTTATTTTTATAAAGATTTAATACACAAATTGGATTCTTGAACTCGGTTTGACTGAGGTTAAGTCTTGATATTAACAAGATTGGGTACTTGGGTTTGCTAAAGGGGCTTTCGTTTCAATAAATCTAAATTAGGTGGTGTTTCAACTTCAAAGAGGTTTGGCGGCTCCCACTCGGTCGATAAAAAAAAGCCGTCTCTGGGCTGCCACTCCGTCAATTTCATAATTTAAATAATTATTTTTTTATGGACATATTATTTACTTGAGCTATGAAATCGACGAAGTAGCAGCTTAGAGCGCCAGTGTACAAAAACTCTTGGAATCTTTTGGGAGTATAAACAATTCAGATAAGTTATACAGGCAGGCTCCGGTTTTCACTTTCACAAGATTCTCTCGTTTTCGTTTTCAAAAACGAAAATTGGTGCTCCCGTTTTCACTTTCACAAGATTTTTTCGTTTTCAAAAACGGGCAAGTTTTTTTTGTCGAAATGAAAAGTAAATGCCTTTTTCTACATTAAATCGGTTCTTAATTGCAAAAGGAAAAAAATAGTTGACTCCTTGGTCTATTGGTGTTCATTTCACATCATCAGTAGGTCAATCTAATTCGTATTTATTTTTTAAATAATTATTTTCTGACCCCACCTTGATTTCATACATAAAATATTTGCCGTCGGCAACAACAAATTTCGTTTTGCTAAAGGCTCGATAAATCTATTGCCAAAGTTATCGTTAATGCTGCCGTACTTGTAGTGGAACGAAACAACCACTTAAAAATACTTATAAATTGAAAACGAAGAAAAAAATATTTGTAAAGAATAGTTAAATAAGCTTCTTATAAATAAATATGATTAATTTAGTGGTTTAAATGGCAAAAGTGCCGTAAAAAAGTTGTTGAGAATAGTGGAATGAAAGCTGCAAAAAAGGTGGCAGCCCCTTATTGTGGGAAACAGCTGATTTCTGATGGAGGCTAATTTGAACTTTTGAAATTGTAAGTAAGATATCTTAATTTACCGATCGTCAGACATATTAAAAACACATGTGTTGCATCTAAGATGTCTCGATTTTCTTAAATCAATCAATTTCTGCCTTCTTCTGGCTTCAAAACAGGCAATAGAAAATATAAAAGGCATTTTTTCGCATTGTTTACTTTTGACTAAAAAAAGTCAGCTGTTTGAACCATTCCGATAACGAAACGATGACAAAAAGTTTGTGAAAACCGGAGCACCTAAAACGAAAACGTACGTTTTCGCCCAAAAACGAAAACGAAAAAAAAAGTGAAAACCGGAGCCTGCCTGATAAATATTTTTTATTGCTGACACTGTTTGCCATAAAAACAAATACAATAATTTTTTTGGAAGCATACTTTTTGGGTTTTCTCTTTACCTTTCCATAAAAACAATTACTATTTATAAAAACAAATATTAAAAAATATAAATGTTGTTTAAGATTCATTTGATGCGCTTTCTTTAGATTTCTTAGGATCGCTCTCCCAGGACTCCTCGTCGATAATTTCTATAGTATCTTGTCCGCTTGGCTTGCCACCATTATTAGATTGATCGGCATCATCCTCTTGTAAATCATGGGCAGACTCGTCAGAATCGTGCGAGAATTCCCAACGAAAACGACGGTCACTAATCACGTCGTTGTCCTGAGCTTCCGCGGACATGGAAACAGCGATCACAATGGCAAGGACACCTAAAAATGGTTAAATTATATAACTTATTTATCCTTATCCTGGCTTTGTCAGCCAACTTACCAAAGAACAGAAGGGAAATCTTGTTGGACTGCATATTTGCTAATTGATTGTAGTTTGATATGCTTTTGATGCTGAGTGAGTTCTCAGCTCCGGCTTTTATACCCATTTTGGCAATTGAATCGCGAATTGTCTGACCCGACAGAAAGTATTTGACTACCCCAAGATGAACGAATTGCCCTAAAAATCTAAATAGAAACAGCTATCAAAATATTAGCATAGCTCTTGAATTTGAGGCTTTTTGAGAACGCTCAAGGTCAGCATATATTTTTTTTGGGCCGAGCTTGGGAATTTCGACAGCAAAATTCATGTTTGGAATTGTGACTTGTCTAATTGATTAATAACATATATGTACTAAATATAAAAGTTTTCTCAAAAATGTTATTGAAGCTCTCATTTCACGTAACAAAATCACCAAAATTTATGGAAAAAGATTTTTGTTAGAAATAGAGATAGTTATAGCTAATAAATGTCGGTTATTATTCAACGGTTGTCAAAACAATTGAAGCCCCGAAGAAAAATATTCCCCCGTTGAGAGTATACTTTTGGGCATAGAGGCTAAGATACGCAAAATAAGCTGGAGGCGACAATTTACATATTCAATCTTGACAAAATGTCGACAAGCAATGTAGCTGAAAAGTAGTTAAATTGCTTTTAATCAAACAATTGAATACCAGCAGGTATTTTAAAGTCTTCACCCCTTTTACTAATTTCCTTTTCCAGTTAAATAAAAATGTTTAAATTTGTTACGAAAACAAACTGCAAATTGGCAATAAATCTGCACAAACATTCAATTAAAATTGTTTTCTTCTTGTTCGTGTGTTTCTTTTCACGTATTGTAAACAATTGGATTGGCTTCGCCAGTCTGGACCACAAAAAAATTCAAGCTAAGAGGAAGCCAAAAATGTATACAAATGAGTCCGAATGTTGCACCTTTACAGTGCTTTTGGAACCCGCAGCATAACCCATTTCCATAGGACTTCTTAATTAAATAATAAAGACCAGTTTGGATTTGTTTCTTAATTTTTTATTCAATAATTCTCTTTTGACATAACAATTCATTATTCCGTCTCAATCATTATTAGGGTAGACATTAAATAAACTAAGAACTAAAGTTGATAAAAAATCATAAAGAAATAAAACTGAACAAAATCATAAGAAAATAAAAAGCATACATAAATGCATAATAAACAACATGTCACAAAACAATTTTCTCTCTTTTTTGCCAATTCTCAGGGCTCTCTTAAAGGAAACTTTTAGATTACAAATAGTGTTTTAAAGAGATATTAGAGAGCTCCGAAACTCGTGGTGGACAGGCGGTCTGGAGTGCATTTACCAAAACTGCTGAATGAATATACAAAAATCGTCGAATTCGAGAATAACACACAAGATAGCGAACACATTAACTGGGCTCTCCCCGTTCGATTTAACCTTCTTAAATGCTGGTTGGCCCTGCCTGGCAGACACTAAAAACACTTAGACTAGGTTTAGTTTTTTTTTTTTGCTGGGAGGTAGGATCGAGGTTGGGATGGGAATTAAGCGGGATCTGGGAAGGGAATTGGGTTCGTGGTTCTCATGTCCTGGTCTTAGTTCGTCTCGCTAGTCGCCTTGGGTTCAGCCGGAGCTTTTACTTCTTCGGGTTCAACCTTCACTTTGACTTCTTCGGAGGCAGCTGCTTTTGGTTCAGCCTGTACTTTGACCTCTTCGGATGCCGCGGGCTTGGGCTCAACCTGGGCTTTAACCTCTTCGGAGGCGGCTGGCTTGGGCTCAACCTCGGCCTTAACCTCTTTGGGCTCAACCTTGACCTTAGACTCTTCAGAGGCAGCTGGAATGGGATCGACCAGGACCTTAGCCACCTCAGCGGGAGAAGCTACTGGTTCAACCTGAACTTTCACCTCCTCGGAGGCGGCGGCCTTGGGCTCTTCCTTTTCAGCCTTGACCTCCTTGGGAGCCTCGGCTTCGGTGGCCTCGCGTTTCTTGTGCAGTCGTCCAGGCAGGTTTTGGGTGCAGGAGCAGGGGCACATGCACTGGTCCTTGGGCGCTGAGCCCGTCAGCACCGAGTGAAGGCTAAAGGACGAGCCGGGCTGAACGCCCAGCGGGAAGGGATCGATGTTCGAGTGTTGGTTAATGGAATTCTCGTCGCAGTTGGCATAGTACTCCTGCGGCAGGATCACCACGGGCATCAGCGCGATGACGGCGCCCTTGGGGATCTTGTCCGGCGGGTAGAAGGCCGGCTGTCCGGGTGCTTGGGGAATCACCGGCAATTGGGTGAGTGACATGGCGTTTATTATGCTGCCGAAGTTTGCTTGTCCATTGAAGCCGGAAAATTGTTTGTTAAAGTCAACGGAGGCGGGATTGGGATAGGAGTTCGTGGTTGTGGTGGTTGTGGTTGTGCTTTTCGATGAGTGCGTCTTATCGGCGTTACAAACACAGGACTGTTCGCTGATCGATGGCACATGCAATGGGGGAGAGGGACGTGGCGTTACTTTCGGTTCAACGTAAACTGGTGGCGGTCGGGTCACGGGCTTGTACGGAACGGTCACGGGTTCTTTCGGCACCACCACTTTCGGAACCTGTGGTGTGTGGTATTGGATTTGCGGCGGTGAGGTCACCACCTTCTGGAAGGGTCTCGGAGTCGAGGGTTCGTAATAGGTCGGAATCGGAGTGGGAGTCGGAGTCGGGGTCTTGGTCACGTATTTCGGTGTCGGTGGTGGTGGTGGTAGGTAGGTGTGCTTTTCAATATTACCCGTTGTCACTGGCGGTGAAGTAACGCTCTTATTTGGCTTATCCTTCTCAATAATGATAGCCGGGACCTTTGGCTGTACGATCGTCGTCGTCGTCGTGGTTATTTTTTGGGATGGCGGTTGAGGTGGAACGGGAACGGGAACATAGGGTTTTGGAGTGTTTGGGAAAGAAGGAGGAACATAGGTTAGTGGCGGCTTGGTCGTTGTGGGCGTTTTCTTAATAACAAAATCATTGTTGTGTTCGTAATTGGGCGTAAAAAGAGGTTTGCTTGGTGGTTCAATTTTGATGACTTGTGAGTAGGATGGAGGTGGTGTCGAGATTTTACCCGGTTGGTTTGGTGGCAGATAGCCGGGTGTCTCCTTGTCCGAGTAACGGGGATCGTTGGGACCAGGAGCTGCAATTCACGATGCATTTAGTTTTGTGTTAGAAGGTTTAATTTTTTAATAAGATGTCTTACCTGGTGGGCCGGGACGGGTGGGTCCAGGTGGTCCAGGACGAGTGGGTCCGGGTGGGCCCGGAGGTCCGGGACGAGTGGGTCCAGGTGGGCCGGGAGGTCCGGGACGAGTGGGTCCGGGTGGGCCGGGGGTCCGGGAGGTCCATAAGGTCCGGGACGGTCAGGTCCAGGTGGGCCTAAATAAATGTAAATAATATTGTAAGGAAAGCTTCATCTAGTGGGGGTAGTTGAAAACTTACCGGGTGGTCCCGGAGGTCCGAATGGTCCAGGCTTAGTGGGTCCCTTAGGTCCGGGAGGTCCTAGTTGATAAGATTGTTAGACCGGACGTATTATAGGGCACTTCCTTAGCACTTACCAGGTGGTCCGGGTGGGCCGGGAGGTCCCTTGGGTCCGGGAGGTCCATTGGGTCCCTTGGGGCCTAGAAAACGGTTAAGACATTGTCATACATATTCTTTAAGGATAAGGATCAATGAAGTATTCTACCGCCAGGTCCTTTAGGTCCGCCTGGGCCGCCGGGGCCTACGCCGCCGCCGTCTCCCTCGCCGCCGTTTCCACCGTATCCGCCTTCGGGTCCAACAACGTGGACATATGGGGGTGCCGGTGGTCCAGTTGGGCCTTCAACGTGAACATATTTGCCCGAATCATCGTGATAATACCGACCATCGTTAATACCTATTCACAAAAGTCAAATGAACATGAGTAATTGCTCGTAAAGTTTTTTTTAAATCTCTTTACTCACCATTATAGCGACCGCCGTTACCGTTATATTTACCGATATCTATATAGTGGATTTGAAGATTGCAAAAATCATTCGATTAGAGTCTGTGCAGTAAAATGTGGTCTCTCTACATGCTCACGATTTAACTACATTTACAGATACTAGCTGCTAATAACTAATTTTACAAAATACATTAACTACAAACATTTAGGTAAATAATTAAAACTGGTCTACGTAATTACATAGAGTTACATGCTAGAAGGTCTAGGCCAACACCAAAAAAACAAAAATCATAACAACAAAGCAAACAAGTAGAATGGAATTAGTATTAAACTATGGGTTTTTAGTCGGGGGATCAGGAATATAGTACCAAAAACCAAACTAAAATAAATCATAGGTATTGTTAGTTGCAGTTAAAGAGTTGATTTATAGTCATTGCTCAAGCGTTTTCAACTTTTTCATGTGCCGTGTAATTATTTTACAATAAATGTGTGTTTTCTCTGTGTGTGGGTGTCATTGTGTGGGTGTATCTGTGTGTGGGTGGGTGTGTAAGTGAGGAATCGGTGCAAGCATGAGTGATAACAATTGTGAACAGATCTCAGCCAATTGAACATGCTGAGGAAAAGGATTCGTGATCTTTTCTTTTCTTTTAAATAACTTTTGGTGCAGAAGGGATAGAAAGTGAGATATAGAGGTATATATTTATATAGATCGGGATTGTGCGCTCTTGGGAAAGGTGCTCTGATAAAGGATAACTAAAAATCAAAAACGTGCCCTAGCATTGCCTGGCTTAAATGTGTGTGTATGTTCTTTTTGTTTTTGGGAATTTGAAAAATAAAATTATAGAGAATATTGAAATTAGGTGCGAGATCATTGCTTTTTGGCTGAAAGTAAACGAGAAGTTCTTAAAATATTTTAAAGTTTAAGTAAATTATTTTAAAATAGACGTAAGGATAAATTTCCTATCTTACGAGCTAAAAGAATTGAGAAGAAAAATTTGAACGAACTGACCGCGCTTCAAAATGCTTTTTAATTCACTGTAAAAACCTTTTCTATTGGCGTAATTAGTTAATTCGTATGAGGGTACATTTAAAAATCGGCTCCATCCACAGCTCGTTCAAATTTTTGCTCTCCAAGCGTAGATAAATCGTTGGAGGGCTAACCTGGATGATACTGAATGGCCCCAGGAAAACCGGTCTCTGTGTGCGTGTAGGTGCTCGTGTAGGTTCCCGTGTTGTCCGGGCGGAACTGGCCACTGGCATCGATTCCGTAACCGCTTCCGATTCCGGTTCCGGTGCCATCGGCACCACCGTTTCCGGGCTTGTAGCGACCACCGTTTCCGGTGGTAATGCGATCGCCGGAGCCGTACGCACCACCGTTTCCGGTGGAGATGCGATCGCCGGAACCGTAGGCACCGCCGTTTCCGGTGCCAATGCGATCGCCGGAACCGACTCCGCCACCGTTTCCGGTGGAAATGCGATCACCGGATCCGTAAGCACCACCATTTCCGGTGGTGATGCGATCACCGGAACCGATTCCGGAACCGCTGCCCAGGCCAGTTCGATCGCCATCCCTGTAGACCGGTTTTCCTGAGGCTCCTCCTCCCGCGCCGACCGGACCCAGACCGCCAGGTGGTCCCGGTGGTCCCGGAGGTCCCTTGGGACCCTTCGGCCCATTGGGACCACCCGGTCCGTTGGGTCCATTGGGTCCATTGGGTCCGAAGCCACCGGCTCCTCCAAAGCCGCCGTTTCCGCCAAAGCCTCCGTTTCCACCGAATCCGCCGCCCGAGCCGCTGCCTCCGCTGCCTCCATTGCCTCCACTGCCGCCATTCGCTCCAATCACATGTACATAGGGATTATTGTCCGGCACGTACTGGCCATCATCTACAAAGAGGACACAAACGTTGCAGTCTCCGATCCGCAGATCCCTCGATCAGCTCATTGCTCACTATTGCTGCCCGGTAGCAGGGTGTTCACCGAATGGAAGGACGGCGCCTGATCGCCGGGATGGCTGAGATCCGAATGACCCTTGTCCGTGCCGAAGATTCCCGTGCCCTGCGGCACCAACGGACCCGTCGGCTTGTGGATGGGCAGACTCTTCTGGTCGGAGCCCTTGATCACCAGACTGTTCGCGGAGAACGCTGGGATGGCATTGGTGCTAGGGCCCTTTGTCTTGAACTGGAAAATACATTTGGCGGGTTAACAGGCGTTCCCTTCCAGGCGATTTTGGTCCTTCTTTTGGAATGGTATTACCAGAAAGGCAAAGCTTATAACCTAATATAGGTTAATAACCTAATATAGGTTAAGTACTGTGCCTTTCAGAGTTTCTCAATCCCTAGAAACGACCAAAAACCGGAGAAAGGGAAAATCCCCTGCAACCCTTACATCTTCGAGGAAGAATGGAATGCCGTGTTGGGCGCCATTCGCGAACTTTCCACATCCGATGGGGAAGTAGAGTTCGTCCCACTGCAGCAGGATGCCCGGCTCCGAGGGACCGCCGTCGGTCTCGTTGTACAGATGAGGCGGGAAGGTCTCCACGGGCTTTTCCGGCTCCACGGTGCGGTAACCGTGGGCATCGGCCACGTAGTGTGTTGCGCGGAGCAGATGATAGGGATCGATGAGGCCGTAGCAACCGTAGGTGACTCCATCGGGACCGCGGGTCTCGTGATGGAAGTTGCCGGTCTTGCCGACATCGTAGCCATATCGATAGGCATCTTTTGGTTGGTGATCATGTTCGTGTCGTTTTGGATTGGTTTTTGGTTTGGGGTTTTCGGGGTTCGGGTTGGTTTGAAAGAGTAATGTTTAGAGTATAACGTTTTTGTTGGTGTGATTTTGTGTGCTTTGCTTGGATTGGATTTTGTTTTTTTTTGTTTGGAGTGCTGTGAAAACCTGTAAATGGTGTGTTTATATAAAACCCTAAAACTCTCGACTAAACTGCCTGTGATCTAACATCTCTTAAAGGGCGCTGTAACTGAAAGTTTCACAAATAACCTAATCAGATGATATTTTTGTAAAGAAAATGTTGGTGTTTGTTGTGTGCTGTTGTTGGTTGGGTTTTTATTTTATCTTTTTATCTGTTTTTTTTTTTTTTTTGGTTGGAGTATTCAATTTTGAGATGGTGAGGTAGAGTTATGAGTATGCGAAGCATTTTAAAGAGGTTTCATGTAGAACCTTTGGCCACTGAAGAACCAATGCTTACATAAAACTGTAGAAAGAAGTGTAAATTTATATGTAAGAGAAAGAGAAAGTAGCATAGAATAAGAGAGAGAGAGGGAGAGATATAGGTAAATGGTTGATTGATTGTTGAGCGTGTATATATTTACAATTTGAGTATAGCTACGACGCATACTACGATTTCTACTGGGTGAGTTTAGTAAAGCTGCTACGGAGATATATATAAATGTATATATATGTATAGAAGGGTACTACAATTGGTTGTTGTTTCGATTTGGGGTATAGATTAATTAATGTAAGTTTGTTGAACTATCAGGGAGGTGGAGGGGATACAAATACTTACGACTAAGGTACTACTAACAACTACGATAACAATTGTTTGGTCAATTTAACTACTTATTCGCTAAATAAATAACAAAAACAAGAACTAACTAACTGCATGGATGGGGCATTTCAAAAATGGATGAACAGTACAAAATTCAATTGGTTTTTACATAATTAATGGATTTGGGGTTTTTTACTAGTTTTACTATTTGGATGTTTGGGATGGGTTCAAGCGGCTTAGACACGTAGATAAAATTGCAAAACGGGTTCACTTACTTGTGTCAACGTTTGACGAATAGTACTGACGGTTCGTTGTCTTTTGGTCGTCGATATCGAGAATCAGACGACGGTTTTGTTCATCGAACTTTGCAGAGTAGGCGCATTGCATCAAGATGCAAGCGACGGCCTGGAAAAAGCGCAAGAAAAAACAGAATGATTAATGAAACTGTCTAACGAACAACGCACACTACAGCTGTCGAAAGATTTGTCACATTCAAGGCACGCCCCCACACCGAGCTAGTAATATCTTGGAGATTTTAGAGTCTTTGCTTGGACGGTCTCAATTTGCATACTGCGGCCAGAGATGAGTCAAAAACACGAGCTCGTTTTCGGTTATGTGTATCTCCATCTCCGACAGGCCCAAGCGAATCAGCAGCCATTTAGATCCGGTTCAATTCGAAACCAAAGCGAAAAGTAAAAAACCGTTCACAAATTTTTGCTGGCAAAATGTCAAAGGCATAATAATCGAACAGCGCATTCTTGTCTCACACGTCAAATGTTGACGGACTTTTTAGCAAACTGGAACTGGATTTGAACTTCGGTTTGGCAGAACATGCTAATTTCCCAAGATTTGTCACAGTCGAAGAAAAACTAGTTGGCTGCCACTGACAGTAATGGACAATTAGCTTAGTTTTAAAAGCATTCGTTGGCATTCTGACTGGCAGCAGCAAATCGATTACCGATGGCATCAGGTTTTTTTTTTCAGCTCTTCACTGTCCCACATAATCGTTGGATCATCTTTTTGGCCGAAGATCTCTGCCTGAATATCAGAGATTACGAAATTGTTTCGTTTATTAATTTGCATAAATTGCCCATAGAATTAATATAATCAAGCCAAGTTCCGGCATCGTCAATACTTCCTTATGAAAACGAGTTCTTTTACGAAGTATTTATTTTAACCACATCCTAATATAGAATTCATAAATCAAGTCACACTTCTTAAATGTGTCGCTTGGTTCGTAAACTAAGAAAAAGGCAGGTGCGGGAAATGACCTTCGCATTATGCTAAATAATCAATTCGTTTGTGATATGATAGATTTGTTCATAGCCCAAATTGAGCCGCCATATCTTCGACGAGGGTGTGTTTGTCTTAAGGTTAAGGAGGGATTGAAGTAATTAAATGGGCAACAATGGCATTTAATGGTTAACACCCGCCATAGATTCCATATTTCAATAGCTGCGATAAGGTCAATAATTTTGCGTCTTTGGCTCTTTGTGGGTGCAAACAAAGTGGAAACCAAACCATGTGAAGGAAACCGAAAATGGCAGCGGCAAAACAAATGTATTTCTCATAAAACAAATTTATTTGCCTATCGCGGCCATCGAACGGATCGGATCGGAGTAGAGATTCCAAAGACAGAAATATTAAATCTCATTAATGCAAATCGGTGGCTCTTTGGATAACTGTCTTTTGATTGGCATATCTTCAAGTTTAAATTGTTGCCAAATCGCCTGCTCCAAAATCTCCACCACTAATCAATAACACAGAAATTATGGATACGAATTTCGGAGTCCATAAAAAATACATTTCTGTTTTTAATTTATTATGCCGTGATATCTAGCAGCTGCTGACAACGGAGGTCGCTTCCATCTCACCCACATTGCCAAGCCTTAGGCCAAGTTTTTCATAAATAAAATCATTTTTTATTCCCTTTTCTCTCTTTTTCAATTTTACATTGCGTGCTCGCCATTAAAGTCAAAGTAAACCAGCTGGTTAATAATGTTATACAAAAGTTTTCATTATTTTGATCTTTCCTTATTGATTTTTAACTTCTTTTGGAAATTGATTACGTTTGGAATCCAAAAAACTTTGTCTTTCACTTATGGGAACTAACATATTGAGGAAGTTTTTCCTTTAGTTAAAGTCAAGAAAAACTGTGTTCGTTGACAACGCGGAAAGAGTGATGGATTGATTGATTGCGTTTACTTTTGTTGCAAAAGTGGGGAAAGAGCTAATAAACTGTCAACGAAGTGCATAAAATAATTTTATGGGACCATATAATCCGCAAAGTAATTAGAAATTGTGAGTGCATGATTCACTGAAAATCGTTTCTCAAAGCAATAAATCTTTTTCTTTAACAATTTTCTTTTTGTTAATTTTTTTCTTACAAAACTTTGCCCTGATCCCCAAACTGGGTTGGCCCAAAAATCTGACAAATTCATTTGTTATGGGTAATTAAGCTCTCAAATTGAGTGAAGGGGCAGCCAAGCCCGCTTTCGAGCTGCTGATCGCTGCACAAAGCCGCACATCAATTGCCAATCAATTAAATGCGAAAAAGCCAACTAACGAATGTGGGCCAAAATTGATGTATGCAGACGTGGGTCATAAAAGAAGTGCGAAGACGCGAATTTCGAGCTGCGAATGCAGTAAATCAACTCCAAGTCGCATAGATCATGCAAACCAAGTGCAGACTGACGTTGTGACCCAAAAAACGCACAGTTACGCCTTGAGAACCAAAGCGTTCTATGGGTACTACCAGTATGGGTGCTACCACTATGCACAATAAGCCAATGAATCTTGAAATCTTTTGCATAACTCACAGCCAGCCATTTATTAATCGAGTTATTCGCACGCACAAGACGCTTGTTTCTGATGTTGCTTACATGATTTCGTGTACGCCGTCATCTTCATCTTCATCATAATCTTCATAATCATCATGATCATTATAGTCATCCGAAAAGTAACCGGTTTAGTCATCCCCACACTTTTCGCTCAAGTTTCTTGACTGCTTTTGCCCTTTGGCGGTTGGAGCGAAACTTTTTTTGTGTAAGTATTTATACTTTTCAAGGTCGATCTTTTGCCGGCGGCCAATAAATTAAACAAGAAAATGTGTATGTTGTTTTTATTATGAGACGAATCGAAATGCAACTGACTGTAAGGCGGCGACGACCTTAATCGATGACAACTTTTTTCGGGATGCAGTTTCGGTCTGCAGGGAATTGTGAAATTTCTTTTCAACGAAACATTTTTGGGGAATTGTGAAATGCTTGTTTCACCATGCCCACAAACCTTCCCACAAACATTTACATAAAGTAAGAGATAAAGAGATGACAATCGAAATGCCTAGCAAACATTTATAATAAGCCTACCCGGCAACAAAAATCCCCCCAGTAACAAAGGGTGTGACTAGAACCTGGCAAACTTCGTGGCCAAAAAATCATTTTTGATTCGAACGATAAAATCGGGGAAACAAGTCTAACCAGCTGTGGGCGATGGCCTTTTCGGTTTGGATTTTCCAGTTAATCCAGACTCGAATTTAATTAGCGCCGCATCTAAAATTCTTTGAGAGCGGAACAGTGCTAATGATTTCGGTCATCATCGATAGACAAAGAAATTAGCCCGGTTGATCTCAGACAAAGCTGAGAATTTGTCCACTGAATGTAGCTCATTAACTTTTGGGCTGTCAGTGAACTTCCAGGCGACTTGTTCTGATTTATTAAAGCAATTAAAAAATAAACCGTTGGGCTTGGCACGCTCGCACATCGCGAGTGACATCATTTTATTGTTAAAAACTTTTACTTTCAACTTTTGGCATTTTGCTGAGGCTTAATAAATACTTTTGGTATAACGTTTTCGTTTTTACTTAAACCAGACTTCCTCTATTATCGCCTCCATATATCTCCATAGCTGCCGCCTTTGGCGATTGTCTAATCGCTGACAAGCTATCGCGACTTAATTTGCATTTCTTGATTTTGTATTATAGATACACCGATCTCTTTCCCTCCGACCAGATTCCATATTAAAATTTGCCATAGACGTAAGCCAACAAAGGCGAATCATAAATTAATGCGACACAATACCTTCTGGGCCTCAAATATCGAAAGTCAGGCGGCGAGTAGAAGGAATAGCAAAGCCGATGAGCTATAAAAGTGAATGGGAGTCAATAAAGTTCCCTGAACTCTTATGTAAGGTTGTTCTGGGCAGAATCTCTGCCTAGTTCAGAAAAAAGTTCATTAGGGTTATTTTCTTAGAGCCAACAAACTTTGGCACACATATTAGCTTTTTCCCGAAAAAATAAGTTATATTGGTTCAGGTAGCTTTTAATCACAATGTTGCGGATTAATTGCGGATTTATTTACCCTACTTCTATTCTATTTTCATTTCCCCTTCGCTTCCGTTAACTGTAAATTGTTAACTATTCATTGAACACACTTAACGCTCTATTTTACAACCGAATAAATGCCGCAATTTATTTCAATTGCCTATAAGCCAGAAGCCAACTGCTTGTCATGCCACACTCGACTTTTGCTACTCCATTTTATGACTCAACTTGCCTACTGAGAGATTAAATCTCTTCAAACTGCACTACCCGAAAGCGTGAAAAAAATTCCGCACACTCTTTAAAATTCCGCACAACCAAAGTTGAGAACAAATTTATAATAAAAAGAATTGTGGGCCAAGATGAGATGCCCTGTCAACGTTCGCCGCTGGGCATTAACAATATTTTTCTCCCCCGACTGCTACTTTTTTTTTGTTTGAGTACGTGTCTGGCAGAATATCTTGGCCGAAACAGAGACTTAAGCCGCTGGCTGTGGTGATAAATTCCGAAACCCAAAGCTTAACCCCAAAAGACCAAGAAGGAACGGGTCAAAGTAATGGAGGCATTTTGGCAGGTGACAGCGCCCGAGACTGAAATCATTTTTCTATCCCAAGCCGAGATAATATCGCAGCTCACTTAAAGCATCATTTTGGCACCTTAGGGGAATTTGTGCGCTCGTAAAACCGCAAAAAGAGCAGTCACAAGCAAAAAAACAATTAACGGCTTTGGATGAGTATTATCTAAGAAATTATCTAAGAATATTTTGGCCATAATCAAATTAGCGCCTTCTTGTGATAGTATCTCCTAATGAAGCAAGTCCTTGACTCATGAATAAGTATGAATTTAACTTTCGCACGTATAATATAATGCTCCCTTCAACAAAAAAAGAGTGACAAATGATACAAAAATCGAATTTGCATGTGTGCAGAAAATAACAAAATCCGCAAAAATTTAAATTTAACTCTCACTCTACCAGCAAGTTAAATACCCAGAAATTCGTTGTTTTTGGTAAACAACAAAATTGCTAGCGTTTTTCCCTGCTACCACATTTTTGTCAGTTGACGCGTCTTCTTCTCCGACTAAAAACAACAAAGTTCACGAATATCGATTCGATACCAAATGACAACAATAAAATCCAGTAGAGTGAGCAGCAAAAAACAAATTCCAGTCAAATAAAAACTGGGCAATACTTTTGCTTTTGCGTTGTGCGGTAAAACAAACAGAAGTACCTGCGTTTGCATCGGAACGTTACGAAATTGCCGGTATTTGTTTGCCCAGAAAAATGCCGGTTGGCTACTATTATTGTTTTTCCGGCACTAAGTTGCGTTCGAGCCCCAACTTTGGCAAATAAATAAAACAACAAATTAAACGAAATTGTGATGATTCGACCCAGACTTGTTAACGGTCGTTAAAAGAGGAATTCCGTATTAATTACTGGGTCTAAGCTCATAAAATATTCTATATGCAGTTAGTGACTCAAAGCCTTCAAATCGGTTGCCTTGCATTATTCGTTTGTAATCAAACAACCATAGCAGACATATTCAACACATTTGCATTTGTGTTCCATGTTTGACATAATTTTTAGCTAAGTGCTAAGTGATATTGCCGTCCTCAAATATTACAAAATATAAAAATGAAGTAACAATTAACTTGTGGCTGCTTGCCCGCTGAAGAAATCAATTTATTTTAAATGTCTCAAATTAAAGCAAATTGCTTTAAAAAAAACTTTAAATCTCCTCTTATTTTTAAAAACAATGTTTTTTATTTATTAATAAACTTACCATGCAAAGAGCTGCACGCGCCATTTTGCAACGAATTTTTAGGTTTTTTGACACAAACGCCAGTAAATATTTAGGTATTTCTAATTTTCCAATGGAATAAACTCAGTTATCCCTTTTCCAATCTTGAAAAGAAGAAAATGTTTATTTTAGTTGGATTAGATCGCAGTCGGGCACAGTTTCACACTATATAGTCGGGGATATTTCGAAAAGAATTCCGTCTTGTTTATCCTTGCAATTAGTACAGTTCGCTTGAGGCTGGGATTGTCATTGATCACAAGTGAGGGTGTTTTTTAGTATTTACTTTTAGGAGCCTAAACTAGAGCTCATACCGTGGTGACCGATGTGGACGAACTGAAGATGAACGCATCGGGTCTTAGCCATATAAACAGAGGCAGACGCGAAACAAAAAGGCGAAATAAAAAAACTCGACACAAAAAGACTAAAAATCGTACTTGAGAGCAGCTCCTAACCAACACAGAGACCTGGCTTAAAGTGCGTGAGTGTGTGAGTGGAACGAGTTTGCTTTTTTTCGCCGGATTCGTTAATTTATTTGGCCAAGCGCCGGAGAGATGAGCTTGAACTAAGCCAATATCGGATACCCAGGTCGTATACTTGATATATTAAACACTCTCTTCGATTTTGTCGGCCTCTCTCTCTCTCTCTCTCGATCGGAAATCTCTAGGATCTGCTTGCGTGTCTCAAGAATTTAAGTTCACTTTCAGGTTCTCTGGGTTCATTAATATTTAAAGATTGATTTTTTTCTTATCTTATTTATTCTCTTTTATGTTTTATTGTCCTCAGTTTTTGTTTGTTCAAAGAACGTTTTTTGTCTTTAATTGAAAATTCGAGTTTTTCGTGTTTATTTTGATTTAATTTTATCGTTAATCGAAGAGCTATATTTTAGCTATACATAGATAGATAGAATGTTGTTTTTTCTGGCTCCCGCCGTTGAGGTTTTATATTTTGTTCAAAATTATTTAGATGGTTTATTGATTTAATTAAAGCTCTGCAAAAAAACCTGGCGAGTTTGGTTTTATGATGCTTGCGCATGGTTTCCGTATATACTAATTTTTCTTCCTGTGTATGCAAGGGGCATAATTAAAATAGCTTTTCAGCTATTGATCACAAATGAGCCAAAATAAAGTTATTTCTAAATCTTGAAATGAACTCACACAGTAGCCAAGAAATTAATCTCTGAGATCACGAATCCAATGTCAGATAGGATTGTTAATCCATTTGCCGCATAGCAAACACCTTTTCATTTAGTTGCGAAACACTTCCGTTTGATGATCCGCTTAGCCAAGACTTAGAATGTTTCTCAACTTGAATTTTTCTGAATTTGTTTCTTAAAGCGTTGCTGACATTTAAGCGAATTTTGCAGATTAAATGGCTTGACTGCAAGAAAAGGGGAAACAATTTCAGCTTAATGCAAAAACTTGGCTTGCTCTTGAATGCAGCAATTGACACAGAAAATAATCAGCTTCTTCAGCTCTTGAACATTAAACAGGATGAATTTAATGACAACGCTTAAGTCAAGGGCGTAATCCACTGAATGAAGACAATGCACAAGTATTTTCGACTATAAAAACAAAAATAAATGAATGGGTAGAAATCGAAAATTGAATACCCTTAACTATTTATTGAAAACCAATTTCTTAATTTAGAAGCTTTAAGAATAAATAAAAGAACAATTTATAATTTTGAATATATTTTGCAGACAAAAGTGTTTTTACAATAGTGACTTAAAGTTTAGTTATTAATGTAATATACCCAATTTTAATAAGGGACATTCCAATGAAATCGAATGTGATCTCAGCATGCAACCGTCCAACGCAGCTGGGGCTCCTTTTGTAAAATATGTTCACGTGGGCTTAGTTAAAAATTAAGAAATATAAATTTAAAATTGTGCCAACGGCAATATTGAGCAAGGGTGCATAATAAAACTGAATTTAGTTGACTCACGGGTAAACCAAAAATCCGACAAACACTCCATTGCATTCTTAGCATTCTTTTTATATCTCCAGCAACAAGTGATGACCTTGACATCGCTTAGTAATCAGGGTACATCCTCTAAAGCCTTCAACATTCTCAAGCATTATTAAATTTTTTGCTCAGTTTTTGCATCTTCAAGCTGACCGCAAAAAGAAAAATCGAAATGAAACATTTAAAAGTCGTCGCTTTTGTTTTGCTTTAATTTTATTTCATATGTAAATGCATTTTTGACAGAGTTTCATTTTCAGTAAATTATTAAACATAATTTTGAGATAAGCCTTAAAACAGCAAGTGGGCCCAGTAAAAGTCTGACAAAGCACAAAGAAATTTTACATATTTAAATTGTGTTTTATCCAAATTCGAGCTCTGTGGAATTTAAATAAATATATACATATATTTTTTTCGTTTTGCAAACTTTTAGCCCACACAAAATATAATTTTTATGACCACAACGAGTCACACAATACATGAGTCTTTTTTAACGACCTTTAAGAGAACAAAACCCCAAAACGAAAAACTTTTAGCTATCATCAGTCGCAAAACAAGTTAAGTTTTAGTTAATCAAATTCATAAGCTAGCGAAACTATCAAGAAATCAAGTATATAAATAGAAATATCGCATTTGAGATACACTTTTAACAAGCCCAATTCAAGTTCGATATGAGAAAAGCAACAAGAAGTGAGCAACTTTAACCTAAGATCAATATTTCATCCGAAACAAAGAATCCGAGGCGAGTGAGCTACGCAATGGCCAACATTTTTGTGGTACACTGAATACGTTAAGCACCAAATTGGGAAAGCCTACCAAAATCAAATTTGTTTCAGCCTCTCTGACAAAATGCCAAAAGTCAACGGGCCTGTGAGTCAACTCGATGAGATGACGATGCGCCGAGATGGAGGAAGTCCCTTGATCCCTGGCCATGCATGTTGCATGTTGCATTCGACGACCTTCACATATCTGATACTAAAGTGCATACATATATCTCTAGCCGGCAGCTGTTTCCGTCTTCGGAGGCACGCATCGATGCTTATGTAACCGGAGTTGAATGACTCTGCCACGTTGCCCTTGTGCAATCTGGATCCCAAATATAAATCAACCATGGAATCCTGATCATCCGCCCCTCTCGATGTTCTCCCGCCATTTCCGGCCATATCGTATGACTTTAATTTTTTGATTAAAAAAAAGAACGCCCCTGTAATCCTTTAATGTCAGGCTCTTGTTGAAAGGATAGGTTTCTCGAAGCGTACAAAAGTGAAAGGCATGGCGTACTTTTTGGATGCGTCACAGATGCAGACGCAAAGATACATTTACATCCGTTCGCAATTTGCGCAGAGTTAATGGCAGCTGAGAGACTTGGGAATAATTTCGTAATTATTTCATTAAATTCTTTTGGCATTTCTTGAAAGCGAATACATCTTTATATTTAGGCACTGACGGGTTCTTGAACTTTTGTATTTCTAGACGAACCAATTTCGAATGATGTCACTTGAGACGTTTCATTAAAAATGCATTAGTCAAATTTGTAATAATCAAAAGAATAACAGGCCTATGCATAGGCTATACACCATAGCTATGGTGTGATTTTTGGCCAAAACAGGAGCGGATTCACTTAAATGCGGGAACATAAACGTTTTTTTTTTTTGTAATTTAAATTTTATTATACAGCTTTAAATAATACATTAAGACTATATTTTATAAGTTATTGATCTTAAGGTATTTCAATGTACATATTTCAATATAAATAATCAATATGCCCTAACCCCGTTATCTTAAATCCGCTTCTGTTCAAAGCCCTGGTCGTCGCACAATACGTGAGAAATTCACGAGACTTGAAAAGAATTCGCGGCCAATTAAAAGTTGAAATAATGCCAAGACAAATGACGACCGGGTCTGGCAAAGTGACAGCTCGCAATTGTCTTAGGCATTTGGCCAGAAACATAATCCGCTTGGCCATCTTATCAATGATATCAGACCCCAAGAACTTGTTTGGCCAAGGTAGAGGTTGTAGTAGCATCTGGTAACAGCTAAACAAATCATTTGCATACGAATTGTGGCCGAACACTGAGAGAACATTAAACTCCATGTATTGGCGTTAATTTCGTGGAAGAGGGGGCCTCTTGAGCGGGTGGAGCAAGAGCCAAGGTCTAACATGGTCAGACAAAACTGCAAACAAATTTCCTTCACCTTGTTGCAATCAATCAATACACTTTTGTTTCGTTGACTGTCAACACCAAGCGAAATTTATATGCATCCACAAAGTGAATTTGAATTCATACTTCCGTTTTGGGTGCTTAGTAAACTAGAGATACACTTTGTCCAATGTTGTCTTATACAGTGATCTAATATTTGCCTAAGCCTTCTGAAAAATCACCGGGCATTAAAATTATAAATATTTATTAATTTATAAGCGCGACATTTGTTTGAATTATGACACCAAATTAAGCTCATATGAAAATAAGCCGCCACTTTAAGTGGTCAAGTTAAAAAAAAGAAACCCAGCTCAAGTTTAAACTATTAGGCCATATAAAGTTTAATGGTTGTTTACGAAAACATAGCGTGAGGATTCCGACACTTAGATCCCACCAATTTGAATGTTTAAACCTCATAAGACACCCCTCACACGCCTCACCTGCTAATTTAGATTCTTTATCTCTTGTGATTTATCGATATATAATGCGTTCGCTCAAATATTTTCTGGCCAGGAAATACAAGCCCAAACTCAACCGAAATGGAATTAAAGATAAAACAAAAAACCTACGAAAGAAACTAAAATCGGTGGCATTGAAGCTTCGCACAAATAAAAGCAAAGATTTATTTAAACTAAAGTAAAGGAGGAATTTAAATTAAACAACATTTAAGAGGCGGTTGTGGGCTCGAAAGCTCATGTGTCACATTTTGATATTAATGGGGAGCAAAAATCCACATATACATAAAACAAGACAACACACTTTATTATCTTTTTGGAAAAGGAAAAACGCAAATTAGCATAGAAATAATTCAATTAGGTAACTTTGTTCCATTCTCAAGTTTGTCATTAGCACACAAAGCTCACTTTAAATCAGATCATAAAAAAATCGTTCAAAATATACAAATTCAAAAACCAATCGAGAACGGGCGCAAACAACTGAACTTTTACGATGGGCGGACGAGAAAACCACATTCTCTATTGTTGTTGATTTTAATCGGAGTTCGTTTGGTAGCTTGTTTTATTTGCCAAAATTCGGCTGATTTCAGTTAGCCAAAATGTGTGTGCATAAATTAGAATTTAAATTTCAGTTAATTTAAGAGCCTGGACTTGTTCTAGGTAGGCATTGAGTGTTGAGCGGACTTTTCTTTCATATTTCGGACAAGTTTCTTATCTGAAAGTGTTATGAAGTGTCTTTTACATAAAAGTTATGGCATTGTCTCCGGTTCTGTGGTCATCCGAAACCACCTAGTGTCATCTCCTCCAGAAGCATATCTAATGATCTGATGGCTCAGCACTATTTTGGTGACGCAAACGTTGCTAGTCCGGATTGGCCACTAGTGAACTCCCAGGCCGGGCCATTTGAATGATAATATCTTGGGCCGCGCGAATATGGACAGCCGGAGGATACTGGTTATGCTGTGATATAATATTCTATAATAACTAAGCATCGCGTTAAACTAAAAGCCACCAAACTGTCTCAGCCGCCTGCCACGTTCCTCTATTTTAGGTAACTGTGTGAAGTTCAAGGAACTTGCTGACGCACGTCTCGTATACTTATTCTTTAGGTGGTGTCAAATAAGAGGTGAAACTTTGAATGGTTGGCTTTGCGGGTGGTCTATAAGTCGGTGATAATTTATTTTTGGAACTGACTTTTCACCTGACAAGCCGGGCATTTTTTTGACATATGATACGGGCTAATGTGAAAACAGAATACCATTTGCTTGCCAAAAGACATTTTTCAGAAATGCTAATCTGCTTAAAATGCTTTTACTTTCAACAAAAGTCTGCGACAGCAAAGACAAAAGAGACGAAAAAACTCAGAATTTTGAGAGAAAGTCTTTTACTTTCATTTCGGGGAGAACTTTTTAAATAAATTTGCACATATACGGTATCAATCTTAAAGTTTGTTGATTTTTCAAACCCAGAATTAAATACCTTGCCAAACATTCGTTTCGCTTCAGAGAACCCCATTTTAAATAAACCAGACAATGAAATTCATTCAACTCCATAAAGAAATGTTCCAGCCCGATTGCATATTCATGATGAAATCTGGCTTTGTGCAAGTCTTATGAAACTTTTATACGCATGCTAATCTTGTTTAGGACACACACTGAAATACCCAAAACAAGAATTCAAATAAATTCCCCATTAATTAACCACGTCAGTAGAAGCCACAAACCAACAAACAAACCTATAGATTCTACGTACAGTTCTTCCTTTAGCTTTAAAATTATAAACACCTAAGATCAGAATTCCATAAAGGAAAGCTCTTAAAATTGATGAATCCAATTAACTGGACAAGTTAATCCAGCAGAAGTCATTCAAAATGCTTCAGCCCAATTTGTGTAAAATGCCATAAAAGTTGTTCTATTTTGAAAATAAAATAAAATCGACATGCCCATAAAGTTTTAATGAGCCCAGACTATACCCGACCTTCACGGACCCAATCAATATTTATAGATGACCAGCAGCACTAACAAAACTTCAAAAAAAAGAGCGGTTTTGAGGAAAGTTTGCGTGTGGCAAATAGTAATCAATCTAATGGCTTTGCTTATTTCTTATAAACAGTTTATTTTTGAGACCTTTGCGTAATCGCAGGCCCGAACTCTCGGTTTCAATGTGAGGTTTTCTTATCCCCCAAAAAAATAAATACCTCCGACAACTTTTAATTTCAATGTGTATAAGCGTTCATTGACGCTCAGTTTGATTGAAATTATTATGCAAAATGTTTCTTTGTGACCAAAGCGTTGGCAATTAATCTCTGGCCACCACCAAAGAACAGGTATATTGCCTTTTGTTAATGAAGCCTCGACGCGAGCACGCTATCAACTTCAGACTCTGGTTCTTCTCATCATGTTCTACTGTATGTTGTGATGGCAACATTTTATGCAAATGGAAAATCTTGAAACCTCTTTAAACAAATTAAGCAAAAATGTATTCTCCTTCGTTTTGATTATTCTTTTAATAAAATGTATTAAATTAATATATTGTTTTAAAGTCATTTGTGATGAATTCATGTATAAATTAAGTAAGACATATACTTAAGCCACATTATATATAATTATTACTTTTTGTCCACGTTAATTTCCCATGAATATTTTATAATTACCCTGTCTCTTAAATCACTTGCAATCAACGAACTGCTCCCAAAGGGGATTTTAAAGCTGTCCGTCAATCAAACTCGAATGCAAAGCAGAAGAACCCTGAGCCCGAGCAAGAAATCCGAGCAGCGAAAACTCGACAATTTTCGCACACAGTCAGTTAGCTAAAGCCGCGTTATTTCAAAATTCTTAATCCGTTCCGTGTAATAAGTGAAATAAGCCGATTTGTTTGGCAGCCTAACGGCAAGTGAGGTCACCGAAACTGGAGACATCGAGGTTCCTCACTCTCGATATGGTGGGCATAATAAAATCCGTAAATAAATTTGCGTTTAGCACATATTTTTGTGCAGTTTTCAGCCAAGGCCGTTCGATTCAAGTCAGTCATAAGGCTTGGGGCATCCGGTTTGAATCGAGTTCGTTTTTCGCTAATCAGATCTGTGGCGAATGTGCACGCTAATCCATCCATCAATCCGAACTATCTTCGTTCAGATTTCACGCTTCAGCAAGTCCTCACAATCGCTTTAAAGATCCATTTTTCTTTCTGTCTTTTCTCCGAATGTCATTGCCAAGTCGGGTCTCAAAATCGTGGGTGGGGTTTTTTTTACCGATCAATATATCTTACCACCTGTTCCACTAATTATGCCTTTATAAGCCAGATAAATTAGTATATTTCTCTTGGTTATGGTTACCATTTAAAAGACTTTTTAAGTGCCCCACTGAGTCAAGCCAGATATTGTTGACAAAATGATCTAATAGCTTTGTGGGTTTTCGGAACGATGGAAAGGTCGTAAAGCCTTCGCAGATCAAATATTTTATCCATAGCGTCTAAATGCACCATTAATCAAGTGTATCCATTTCTTATACCATAGACATACTAAAGGTAGCCTCTTAATAATATTATTTAAATTAATTTACTTTTTTATTTTAATAATATTATTTAAATTAATTTACTTTTTTATTTTTAACCTATACCTTTTATAAGCTTAAATTTTCTTAATAAAATTATATCAATGAACTTATTTGTTTTAAGTTTGAAGCTTTATAAAAGATTTTAAACAATGTTTACTCGTATTAAAATGTAGTTAAGCTGTGTCGTTTTGAGCAAACAATATAACAATAAGAACTGCCAGTTCAATGCCATTCGTACCCTTTTTTCTGATACCATTATTTCATCAATCATTAACGATTATTATTCAACCCAAAAAATGTTAACACAAAAAGATAACTTCGAAATCGTTGGGTTGACACATGGTGCAGCCCACAATCCGCTGGTATATCAATTGTTACTCCAGTAAACTGATGCATATCCGACTCGTTGCCTCAGCTGCTACAAAAGCTTACAACAAAAAGTTTGTTTGGTTTTCCCAAAATGCAAACACCATGGGAAAACTAACTCGAATGCACGCCAAAGTTACTTGGGAGGAGATTCATTGTTTTGGTTTTTAGTTTGGACCCCAATCCGCCTTGAACCCGCTTAAAACTTGCTTTCAGCTGTTGTATACAATAAAAACTTTATTATTCTTCGCTTTAGCTAAAAGTCGTTTGTACATAAAAATGTTACAAATGTTCTTGTATATTGGGGGTAAAAGACGTTCGTATTGCTTTTTAATACATTGCTAAATTCTTGGTTTAGAACATGTTACAAATACAAGTTTTGTGCAAAAGGACGGATAAATGACAAATACTATTAAAGACCTAATTATTACCTTTAAAAGAAGGTATTTATGTGCGCAATATTCGAGTACAAAAGGGAATGTTAATGTCTTATAGATAAAGGACGGAATTCGCTTAACCTTCTCTGGGTCTCTTAACTAAGGCACTAGCTTAGCAGAAGTTTATGCAATCCAATTGGTTCTTTTGGGGTTAATCGCAGGTCGGTCAATCAGGTATTTAACAATAAGTTGTTTTAGGCACTATGAACTACACCAAAATAGTTCTCTCTAATTAAGGCACGAGTGTAATATTTCGTTGCTAGTTACAACTAGCCTGCGACTTTGCAAACAAAAATAAAAGACACAATTGTTGAGGGGGACGGCGGTTGTCTATGGGCGTTAATTGAGCGAAAATTGGTATGCAAATTCAGTAGAATACTTTACATGAACATGAGTCATTTGGTTGAGCGTCTTCGTTTGATGAAAGCTGTGATAATATGTGGGTTTCATTCGGTAAATCACTCAGTCTTCGTTTGGAACTGATCTGCTCGATTGGATGGATGATTAATAAGTACCAAGAACTGTAAGCGTGTGATGCAGTGCGTTGCGGTTGTCAATTGCATAAACTTTTTTAACTAAAAACTATTTCTACAGTCGAACTTCTCTACCTTGAACTGCTGTGAGAATTACGACTTAATATTTTGTCACACCTATTGTCATTTAGTTGGTTAACCACTTCCTGCTCAAATTGTTGTTATTTTTTGTAAAAGAACCCTTGGTTTGATTTTATAATATAATCCTAGATAAAATTTGTTGTTTAATATTTTACCTCATGGGAGTTTCTTTAAAAATCTTTTGAGACATTTTAAAAGTTGTCCAAAAGTATGCTATGAAACCTTTGAAGATTAGGTTAACTGCTTTTTAAATTATTCGCTAAAAAAAAATAATTTACCTATGAAAATTTCGATTTGAAAAGTTTGGTTTTAGAGAAGTTCGACTGTAACGTTAAGGGTGAGAATTTTTCGTGGGGACGGAATGCTTTTGCGTTGTTCTCCTCTTAATTTGCTTGTTGTTTTTGTTGTTTCTTCGATTCCCTTGGTGCACGTGTGCTAGTAACCTCGTCTGAAAGAGACAATGCAAGAAGGTAAAACCACTGACCCTGACTTGAATATGTCCAAGTACTCACCGGCGACTATCCGCGCACGAGTTCAAATCGCGTTTGCGACTCTTTGAACTGGATTCGCTTCCTGTGCTGAACGTGGGCCTCGCTGAGGAACAGTGTAGCTGCCACCAGGGTGAACACTGTACCCACACAGGCCAGGACAAAGGACCAGCCAAACCAATTGTTCGCGTGCTCCGGCATCCAGCCATTGCGATTGCCGAATCCGGCGAAAACTATCACCGCAATGGCCGCGCTTACTCCGGCGCCCAAGAGCACATAACCCACTGACCGAATAAGGGTTATAAAGTGCTTTTGATCCGGTCCAGCGCAGAGGAAGAACACTAGGACTCCAATGGCAGCCAATAACATTCCGATAAAAGCCAGGGTGTAGAAGAACTGAGTGGCTATCATGAAGCCGGGCAGCAGGAATCCCCGGATCTCGTCGTAGCCCGTGGTAAATGGATCGTAAACCCAGCGGCAGCCCACGAAGAACCTCCTTTGGCTGTCGTCATTCACATCCGGTAAGGATCGGAAGCAGTGTACCCACAATCCCAGGCGGTCCAGCTTGGCGCCCGTGATGCGGTAATCGCTGACCAACCAACTAGGCGTTGCAAATGCAATCACAATGAAGGCAAATGCAAACACGAAGACTCCAACGCCACAGCTTCCCGATAATGTGCGCCTCTTCATGTTCACGGTGTGGATATTTTGGGTATGAGATGTGGGCAGGTGCTCCTGGGAATCTTCGCGTGCAAAATGGGATGATTTTTGCATCCTTTGGTCTGGAAATTCTGTGTGAATTTCGTTGGATTCCTGGAGAATTGTTTGTTTGGTTTGCTGGCTGTTTGGGTGTGGACTGACTATCGAAGTTACTCAAGCTGGCTATCGATAGCAAGCAGGGTTACACGGGCAACATTACAGAGCCGAGCTCTGTTATTGGGTAGATAGTAGACGCATGTGGGCGACGCTAATTAGGTATTATAATAAATAAATGTCACTTAAATTAACATTTACTGTATTGTATTGTAGTCTTATTTTAATGTCCTGTAATAGTTTAAAAAAGGTAAATTAATTAATTAATATTATTTTAGAGGGGACTCACGAAAAATATCGCAGTCCAGCTTCAATACTCAACGCCAGGTGGCTCTTCAACTGGGGCGCCACAGATTTAAATTAAAACTTTTATTTTTTAAAACTTGGATTTTCTCCACTTTTTAAGATGTACTAGCATATTGTGTGGGTGGTTATCAAAATCCAAGTTAAAAAAAAAAACCCAATAAAACACTGACTTTAAAATATAACAAGTTCTAGTTATATTGTCCATAAAAACTTATATTTAAAAGGCCTAAACATCGTAAATGCTAATGTGCGTCGTGATAATCTGGAAGACATTTTCTCTTTTCTCCCTCTAATTAAGGGCAGCTACAGCCTTGTGGGCGGCATCATCCAAGTCGCTTGCTGTTTGAATAGGTAGACCGGAATTCTTCAGGATTTCGCGGGCCTGATTTACGTTGGTGCCCTCCAATCGCACGACCAACGGAACGTTCAGTTGCAATTTCTTGGAGGCAGCCACAATTCCATTAGCAATGGTAGCGCAATTCACAATGCCGCCAAACACATTAACCAATATACCCTTGACTTTCGGGTCGGCGGTGAGGATCTCAAAGGCCTTGGCCACCTGATCTTCCTTTACGCCACCTCCGACATCTAGGAAATTGGCTGGCTCACCGCCATTTAGCTTGATGATGTCCATGGTGGCCATGGCCAAACCAGCGCCATTAACCAGACACCCGATGTTGCCATCCATGGCGACGTAATTCAGATTATATTTGGAGGCCTCCACTTCACGAGGATCAGATTCCTCCTCGGTGACATCCATGGAGAAGATATCTTTCTGACGGAACTGGGCATTATCATCAAAGTTGAGCTTGGCATCAACCGAGATGACTTCGCCTTTATCAGTCTCCGCCAGAGGATTGATCTCGATCTGAACGGCATCCACGGCCTTGAAGAGAGTGTAGAGTTTCTGAATTTCCTCGGCACAACGCTTCACGGAATCTCCCTTGAACTCCAGAAACTTGGCCACTTTCAAGAGAGTTGCCTCCGGAATGGGCTCGTCAATGTTCAGAGGAACAGTCTTAATTTTCTCAGGGGTTTCCTCGGCCACCGCCTCGATATCCATGCCTCCAGCCGGGGAGGCAATCAACACAGGTCCATTGTGCTCGCGATCCAGCAAGATGCACAGATAGGTCTCCCGCGTGATGTTGATACTACGTGCCACCATAACTTTGTTGACCAGAATCCCCGATTTGGGCGTTTGCTTTGTTATCAGCCGGTTTCCTATCATCTGCTTGGTAAGCGTAAGCACCTCGCTCTTGCTGCCGAAAGTACAATAACATTAGCTCGCCTTATCAATTGTGTTTTAAAGGTCTGCTTCGGGTTCCACAAACATAACTCAAATGGAAAATTAAATTAAAGTTAATAGATTTATATTATGATAGTTAGTTAGTCTTCAATTAAAATGTTTCAAAGTTTAAGGGTATCTATTTTATAATATTTTGTGTTATTAAATAAAATTTTATTAATGCAGCAATATCGACTGAAAAAAATTTTAATTTGAGTACCAAAACAGACAATTTTATAGCTTACTTTGAAGTGATATGCACACCGCCCTTGAATCCGTTGTCAAAAGTTCCCTTACCACGTCCACCGGCAAGAATCTGCGCCTTCACCACATATTCCGGACACTCTGAAAAACATCAATTTAACATCAATTAGCCCAGAGATTACATAAACACCGGCTACCATGCCGGTCTGCTTACCAAAAGTCTTTACCACTTCTGCATCGGCCTTGGAGTTATCCAAAACCTTGAATTGCTGGATAGCGACTCCATATTTCTGCAGGAGATCCTTGCTCTGGAATTCCAAGAGATTCAGCTGGCGTACGGGAACCTGTTATTGAAAGATAAACAAAGAAAGACAAAGGTCAACCCACAACTTCTCTTTTCTGAAGTGTTCGGAACATATGTTTGGGAAACCTTATGAACGATTTGACGGGCTGTGGCGGCTGCTTTTAGTAGAAACGACATTTTGGCTGTTCTGAGGTGTTAACAAACAATACTGACTAAATTTTGTATTATTTAATTTTTGTAACCGTCTCTTTATATGCGCAATAATTGTTTAAAAACACAACCAAAATTCGCCGCCGCTGCACGATGCTTATCACAAAACAAAGTGACCAAGTGAGCAGTGAGTGAATAATGAATTGTTTAAAATATAGCGCGTTTATACAAAAGTAAGCGAAGTGAACAGGAAACTTAAGGTAAATAAACTATCTTATTACTTTCGGTAATGTTTTAAGTTAAAATAAGTTTAGTAACTTAAAATGTTTAACGAGTTCGAAATAGTTGTAAGTCTTGAACATTTAAATAGCTTACATTTACTTAAAACATATTTTCTTATTTTTACTAAATATTTGTATTGTATTTTTGTATCATTATTTATTGTATTTTTATAGCCCCGATTTGCTGTTTTTTGTTTAAAGTAAAATTAATATAATATTATTAAATATATATTGACGATAAGAACGGTCACATTCTGCAGACAGCTGTTTATCTCAGCCGGCACTGTGTACATTTTTTTGGACTAATCCGTGGTCACCGAAGAATGACGAATAGCCTACATTAAATGAACAACAGGAGTGAGATGGAAGTTGAAGTTACCATGAAGGAAGATTTAGAGCACGAATCACTGCCACAAATACCGGTAGTTACCTCGGTGACTTGCTGCTTCGTTCTGGCGGTTCTCTACGTTGGAAGTCTCTATATTTGGAGCACCAAACACAATCGGGACCACCCAACGACGATCAAAAGAAGATTTGCCAGTGTTTCCATGGTTATGCTGGTGGCACCCTTCTTTGTATATTTCTTTTCGTCACCTGAACTCCTCAGCCGGGAACCATTTCCCAAGTTACTAGGATTTCGCTTGGAAGGATTATGGCAAGCTGTGGTGATACCCTACGCCTTGACAGTACTACTCTTCCTCGGACCTATCTTCGTTAACATGCAGAACGAGTCCATAAAGTCCTACTTTGGTATGTTATGAATCTTTTTCTCTAAATTTTGAATCTGTGAGAAGATAAACCTTATTCCATAATTATTATTTTAGACCTGGACTATTGGCGAGGATCTTTTAGTAGCATTATCTGGGTACGCAACCATGTGATGGCTCCATTGAGCGAGGAGTTTGTCTTCCGGGCCTGCATGATGCCCCTGATCCTTCAAAGCTTTTCACCCTTGGTCGCCGTCTTTATCACGCCGCTTTTCTTCGGAGTGGCCCATTTGCATCACATAGCCGAGCGATTAAGTTTGGGAGTTGAGCTAAGCACTGCATTACTGATTGGACTCTTTCAGTTCATCTACACCACACTGTTTGGATTTTATTCTGCCTTTCTATTTGCCCGCACCGGTCATGTGGTGGCTCCGATTTTGGTGCACGCATTTTGCAATCACATGGGCTTACCCGATATACAGGACTTGTGGCAGCAGGATCTTTGGCGGCGAGTGGTGGCAATTGTCCTTTATATAGCAGGGTTTGCTGGATGGATTTTCCTACTTCCAATCGCTACGGTTCCTTCGATATACGAAAACAATCTTTACTGGAATGTAAAGTAAAAACAAGAGGGAAATTGTTGAATTTTTGTATGTTTATAAACCGCTGCCATATGACAGGATACAGCTATTTGTAAATAAATATTCATTTATCATGTTTAGGCATTAATTGCATATCCAGATAAGCCGACTGCACGCACAATAAAATTATAATTTGTTGTTAAAAAAACAGTAAATCCTATATTTATCTACATTTTTAAAGCGTACAAAAACCATTATTTCTCAAAAATCTATATATAAAAATTTTATTACAAGTTTAAATTTTAAATCAATGGCGGCTTGCAATGGTTCCGGTCATAACTCTGGTTCCAATGGTTCCGCGGAACCAGATGTAACAACGCAGCACAATCGGGCGTTCAACAACACTACCCCTCAATGTTTAGAGAATTTTGGTAGCATTTGGTAAATATGTGATAATATTAAACGACGCACAAATCAACAGAGCCGAAAACCGAAAGGCCAGCGCCAGGAGGCCCAAGAAGAGGTAATCCCAAGGATAAACACCGCAAAGACCAGTAACAACAGATCGATCGGCTGCTGACGTTTTTTGGTCTTTGCCCAGGACTACGATTGATAGTAATTATAGAACAATTAAGACTAACCTCGACCCCCCCGGCTCTTCCTGGGGTCTTTTGCAGGCCTTTGCGCTGAAGACCACGTCAACAGTCTCGATAAAGCCCAAAAGAAAAAACAAAACACACCCACCCGAACTCACACAGAATGTATTGCCTACAATGCCTGCTACCCGTATTGCTGATACCGAAGCCCACGAATCCGGCCCTTATGGAAACGCACGTGATGTTCATAGTGCTGTACCTGGTCGGGTTCTTCCTGGAGCGAAAGCCCTGCACCATCTGCAGTTTGGTCTTCCTCACAGCCGTATCACTTATCTGCTACAGCGGCGTCGGGAATTGTATTTTTGGGGCAACTGCGAGGGCCACCAATGTGAGAACGGCTAGAGGATCACCTCCCTGCATCCCAAATACAGTACCCCCTAGTAGTCATAGTCAACGAAGAAATTAAGTGCTAATAATAATAACTACCTTATTATGGAATTACGTTCGCGTTGTTACAGCTTTACATCCTAGAAAAAGAATTCGCAAAAATAGGAGAGAACAGGCGGAGGAAGAGGATAAGGGAACTTGACTAAATCGGTGAAATCAGTGATACAAGTGATGAGTGAGTCCGACCAGGAACAAAGATTGTGTGTTTAGATCCATTTATTATTTCCAGCTCCGTATATGTTTCCTTCATAATTCTTTTTGTTATGAACTGTAATGGTATTTAAGCGTGTCTTTTGTTTTTAAGGCTTAGACGAATTTTGTTTTAATCGAGAAAACGCTACAAAAACGTATTGTACATCACCCCACCCAATAAATCCCTTAAAATAAAAAGCCCCTATCGACCCCACTTGTCAATGCAACTTACGATTAGTCATATATGTTATATATATATATATATTATACAAGAAGTAATTGTAAATTAAGGATAACAAACAAGTTCACTGCACATCCTTGCTGAGCCAATGGAAGCTGCTGACATCGGTTGTTATTACCCTGTCTTGTGCACGTTCAAAACTGTATATACGAGCATACAACTTACATACACTGATCTAAAAATATATTATATACATAAACTGTAAACAAAAAACAAGCACAAATATGTAAAAATGTGGGAAATGCGGGAGATTAAAGTATATAAAAAAAATTTGTTTGATTTTTGCGAATTTGTATGATTTGAGCGATATCTAAAAACGCAATTGTGTCAAGAGATGTAAGCAAATAAAATAAAAACAATGATAATAGGCTTCTACCATATACTGACCGCAAGGCTGAAACGCCCCATGGGATGTTGGGTGTTTTTAAAGAAATCGTGGAAAATCAGTTTGGCAGCGACGGAAAGTGGGGTTTATACATATGTACAAACATAGTAATTCATGTTAGAGAAGGATCCGAATAAAAGAACTCAGAAACTGAGGGCTGTATGTTAAATAAAATTCCATGATCCTGTATCAATTTTGTTAGGGAAATTTCCAGTTTGTAAATGCAGGTCCAAAGATGAAAATCCTTCTAGCATCTCAAAAAACTGTGTTGGGTCTAAGTTACTTAATCATACTTTAAATTGATTTCCCCCGAAGAAAAGAAAATTCACCTCAGTTTTATTTCCAATTATCCACAATTTTATTCGCTTCAAAATGTGTGTATATAGTAAGTATTTTTATATAAAATGTACAAATTTCTCATTGCTGTCGTTGGTTTTGGAATTTGATTATATCAAGATCATATCAGCTTCAGCATCGTTCTTAATTTACTAACAACTACACAAGACAATTAATTAATTAAAAATACGATAATAATTTATGTACAAAAATTTCCATCGGATTTATTTGTGTGTATGTGAAAACAAAATTCTTGACAATTCAAAAAACTGAAAAAAAATACTTGGTAACCTTTCACAATTTTCTTTTTCACAGGAGATTGCTGTTTTTGTTTTGTGTTGTTGTTTATAAAATATACAAATATGATATACATATAGAGAATACATTTTTAGAAGGAGGCCAAAATTGGTGAAAATAATAGTTACAACTTTTTGATTTAGTTTTGGCTTTACTTTTTTTAAAGCTGCTTTAATAACAAAACAAATCGAGACGACTCGGTTACAATTCAATAGATTCTTCAGGTTTAGTTGGGGACATGATGACTCCTTCTCCTAGTTCTTCTCCTTCTTCCCTCTCGTCGAGATTCGATTCGCACAGCAGCAATCACAGGCGTGGTCTTCTTGTTACTTAAACGGAACGAGGCTGGACGACTGTAAAGATGCATATTTTTATTTTAAAACTGGGAATAATAAATTATCACATAACTAATAACTTAAGGGTAAGTCTAAATGATTGTTTCCCTATCTTATATATTGCGCAGTATTTAATTACTCTAATTAATTATCCATAAACTAATAAATCTGGTTTCAAAGTCAAATTAAAAACATATTTTCGTTAAACTTCACTTCAAGGCTCTGAATCGTAAACGTTTTTTGTGGGATACTAATTGGTAATAAATAATAATTTGATTAATTACATTTGTCAATATCTATTAATGGCTTTAGGTAATTTTCAGTTTCTATTAATCACGTTCTCCTAAAATCTCCTAAATTATGGAAAACTTTTTAAAGGAGTTCTTATAACTTTCGACTTAAGTTTACTCACAGTGAGGTCGCTGGGACTCCTCGGGAATAGCGGCTCCTCCCTCCATGGCCTGCATCATGGGCACCGGGATGCGCACGGGCTGGGCCAGACTGCGGCCGTACATCATGCGGCCGAAGGGCAGCTGCTGTGGCTGGTCGGGCATGGGCGGGGTCATGGTGTCGCGTGGCTGCTCGGGCAGCGGCTGCAGGATCAGTCGCTGGATGCGCATCTGGGGCACCTGCGGCTCCTGTTCCTGCTGCTGCTGCTGCTGCTGATGCTGCTGCTGCTGCTCCTGTCGTTCCTGGCTGACTTCCTGCTGCTGTTCCTCCGGCTGTTGCTCGGGATGAGCGGTCTGCTGCTGCTGCTGCACGGTGGTCTGCGCCTCGGTTGTGGCCTGTTCGCCGGAGGCGGACACATCCTCCTCGCTGCCCTCGCTGGCGTCGGCTCCCTCCTCGGCGGCCAGGCGACGCAGCTCGTCGGTGATGCGATCCTCGGCCATGCGCTGGATGTTCCTCAGATCCTCGGCGGTGATGCCCACGCGCTGCAGGGCCATGCCGAAGGGCATGGGTTGGATCTGGATCTGGGGGATCTCACGCTGCTCCTGGCGCTGCTGCATCTCCTGACGCTGCTGCATCTCGTGGCGCTGCTGCATCTCCTGGCGCTGCTGCATCTCCTGGCGCTGCTGCATCTCCTGACGCTGCTGCTGGGCGGGAATCTGGACGGGCACATCGTCGGCCACATGGATCTCGCGGAAGGGAATCTGCTGCATGTGGATGCGCAGGGTCTGGACCTTGGGCAGCTGCATCTCCTCGGAGGACTCCATGCGCGGGGCCTGCATCACCTGCGGCGGCATCGGAGGACGCATGGGCAGGTGCTGGAACGGAGGCGGCAGCTGGCGAATGATGATGGGTCCCTGCTGCTGCTGCTGCGGCAGCTGCTGGTGCATCTGCATGGCTGGCGGCATCATGCGCTGGGGCATGTGGGTCAGGGGCATCTGGTCGGGAATGCGTCCGAAGGGAATCGGCACTCGCTGGAAGGGAATGAACATCGGACGCAGCGGCTCGGCATCCTCATCGGAGTCCTCCTCCTCCTGCTCCCGCTGGCGCTTGGCCTCCTTCTCCTCCCGCTCCTTGTCGTCGCCGCCGTCGCAGAAGATCGAGATCCGCTCACCGGTGATGCGCGCCTTCTTGGGATCAGTGGTCAGGTTGACTCCGAACGGCAGGGCCACTGTCTTCGAGGGCGAGTCGACGATCTCCTCGGCGTGCTTGCGCTCCACCACACAGTTCATGCGAGATCTACAGAATAAAAATAAAATAAAATACTCAATAAGGATTCGAAAGGAAACTAGAATATAGCATACAAAAATATATTTTTAATCCATTTTGAAAACTAACTTAAGAAACTAGCATTACTGACTTGTGTTCTCTATAGAGTATTGAATTGTTTTGTATGGGGACTATTTTTAGGTTTACTAAATATTCCAAATCTAAAATCCAGGCACTCACTTCTTGTTGTTGCGCAGAATGGCGGCAGCCAGATCGCTCAAGTCCAGCTCGAGCGGCATTTTGCCGGGATACTTCTGCAGCTCGTCGGTCTCGTCGCTGTCGGAGTAGGAGTTATCCTTGTCGGAGGAGTGCTCCTCGGCATCTTGGCTGGCTTCAGCCTTGCGGCTCTCCGGTTCCAGGTTCTGCAATTCGGAGTCGTCGGTCGACGAGGCAGCTGATCCCAAAAGGGGTTCAGCACGGGGTAATTCCTGAAAACAAATATGAAGGCATTTGTTAGTATTATTCCCATAATTTATTTTATTTTTAATTTTCTAAGTTTGTACAATCCTCTGATAAAATCTAGGAATGTTTGCGGACTTTGAGCTTAAGTTCGTAAAATTATAACAAAAACATCTCGCGAATGCTGTCATAAAACCAAAATGTTTCTCATAAAATTATAGGTTTACGTCATCCAAATCCAATGTAATCTCAAATTCTTACCGAAGCCTATTTTCGTAAACAAACTTATATCATTCCCCAATTATCCAGCGTTTTGTTGAAAATTGACAAATTTATTTGCGCCCTCAACTGAGACCTGAGATCTTTTTGAATCTGTATTCGCTGTATTCGTTTCTTGACTCTTTATGCTGGCTTCCTATGCAAGCTCTTCGTGCTCGAAACAATGAGGGGCACAGACCCGGTGGCAGTCATCGCAGTCAATTGCCCGGCGGAGATGTGACCCCAACCTACATACGGCCGAAACCAAAAGTAAAATGCCATCGGAATAAACTTGTTGTTGCTGCGGCTCGAGAAGTCTAAACAAAACAACAGAAAACAGCGAACAGCAAGCGACCAGCAACGAAATTACATAATCGCACACTCAAACAAATGGCCATATCTGAGCTGGCTGTATGCGAGTGGATCGTGGCTAAGCAAAACTCAAGCCCGGCCACAATGGCCGCAGAAATAAACAAACGGAAAATAAATTTAAATTATATGAACCTCATTAAGCCGAGCCACGAACGAGGGGGAGTTAGGTGGAGCTGGATTCGGAGCCGGAGAGCGGTGATTTTGGATAATGTTTTATATATCCGGTTTGTGGATGGCTTATTTTGCAGGTCACCGTGTACTTGACAAAAGAGGTTGACATTGGATTGAGACGAGCTCTCTTCGGATTTCCTCTAGATGCTTGAATTATTTTCATACTTTTAAGTTCCATCATGGAAACAGGAAGTCTAAGTAAGAACTGTATTTGTCTTTCAGACATTTAATTGTGTCACCATATTTAAACATTTTTATTTAATCATATAGTTTTGTATAATATATATATATTTATTTTTTTCTTTTAGAGCAGATGTTTTGAAGTTATCTTCCACCCATTAACTCGTTCTCCCCTTTATATTATTCAAGTTAATCGTTAACTTTCAACAAAACTGCGCAGTGTGACAAATTTTCACAGCTTCTCAGAAAAACCGCACAAAACCCGTCTATATGCAAAATGGACCCACAACTGAGTCAATCTTTGAGTCATGTGCTCCCAGGTGACACACAATCCCAAAATTTCACTTTAAAATCATGTGTAAGTGAAAAACAGCTTTAAAAAAAAAAAAAAAAAAAAAAAAAAAAAACAGAAATCGAAACCGAAACCGAACCCAACCAGTTCAGCAAACAAGTTCGCTCGATTTGATTGTTTATTTTCGCATTCGTAGTTGAATTTCAAGGCCAGGCTCGTCTGGAGATAAGATCTATTATAATACAAAGAGAACATTTGTCTGCCCCTAATTTGTTTACTGTGAGGTACATGTGGGGAATCGACTCGGGTCGCATTAAGATGACAATTAAATGATTACAAATTGAACGCTCTGTGCAATTAAAATGACAGACAGCCGTCCGAAGTCAGACGGTAGGCATTTAATTTGCGAAACTTTTATTTATAGCCCCGGCTGACTGACGCACGTCAAGAATTGCAATTGTAATTCTAGAGGCGGCTCACGGCAATTTCTTTAGGGAAATCATCCATAAAAAATATCCATTTGCTTAGCCAGCATAATAAGTTTTTCCCCCTTCTTTTTTTTCTCCTCCTGTCGAAGTGCCAAACGATTTTGCACAACAGCAGATAAATTATATTTTACCTACTATATGTGCTGGCTGCCTGTATGTCGGTACATTACATAATCGTCAGGCCAAAAAGCATTTGCTTTGTCCCAAAAAACAAAGTACGACAAACAAACCGACAAAAAAAAAAAAATAAATAAAAAAAGAAACGAAAGACTCAGGCGCGCAACTCGCCTTAAATGGCAAACAGTCAACGGCAATGGCCAAAACCACAATGGAACTCCGGTCTTTGGTCTTCGGTTTTCGGTCTTTCGTCTCTCAGTCGCTGACGGCTTTTTGTTGGATGCTTGGGATATGTGCCTGAAAGGTTGTTTGGTTGCTCACTTTTGGCTGGTACCAAGCGGCGCCAGCCGGCAAATGAAAAACAACGTACAAAAAAAATGACAGCAAAATTGCATTATGGCCCGGCTGTTGCAAGCGATGGCCACGTGAGAAGATCTTCATCAGCAGGAGATACCAACGCAATCGGAGCTGCATAAGTCTGGATTCCAGAGGTGGAGGATTTATTAACTCCGCTTGGGTTCTGGGAAAAACCCATAAGGCGAAGAGATCTTCAAATTCAAGTGTTTTGTTGGTGACTCAAATATTGCAGCGCTAAAATTTGATATCGTCTTTTAATTTAAATTCCACTGGAAGCTGTCAATTCAATTTATATTTTTACAATTGTATTTTTTAGAAACTAACTTAGGGTCTATTAAGTTTAAATTGCAACTAATAAAATAAAATTTAATTAAAGAGCATTTCTCTTCTTTTATATAAGAAAATACTGCAATTGGTAGTGATACAAACTTTAGCGTTACAATGGTTCATTAAGGTGGCTTAACAATTATTGGTAACTTTCACTCTTATCCATTAAATCGCAGCGTAATCGAAATAATTGGGATCATATATTCAATAATGAGGCTTTATAAAAAGGTGTATTTGTAGAGGGTTTGGCTTTTTTGTTGATCACATAACGATTGCATTCATATAAACTAGCAAAGCTGCAATGGGAAAAAACACTTTCACGATTTTCCGACCATCTCTAGTTGGTGTTGCTCTTTCGGCTGACGATCTCTGGCATTTTGGATGCCCCAGCAGCAACATCAACCCCAGCAACAGCATCAACACAGCAGCAACATCAACAGCAGCAGCAGCAGCAGCAGCAGCAACAATTGCTGCGCCCACGCCCGCTTGAGTGGATTTTTTGTTGTATTTTGTAGTTTTGTATGTGGCTTGCAACATGTTTTGTTACTACCGACTGCTGCTTTCACTTTGTCTGGCATTTGATTCGCAATTGTTTGCTCTCTGGTTATTATGTCGCAAGCTCCGAATGCGAACTCCACCATTTTGGTGTCCACTTAAGCGTCAAATTATGGGAATTTCGCTTGATTGAATTTATCGTTGCATTCGCTGAGTTTGTTCGTTCATTCGTTTACATAAGCCATCTGCGCATTGGGTTGAATAACCTGATCACAGCATTATAAACAGTACATATAATCCCCCTTCTCCGGCATAACTATAATTTGTTTCATTTTGCACTTTCCATATCGGCTAATTGAATATTGATGACACCAATGCAAATGATTGAACCGAAAGTCATTAAATTTGAATTATGCTCTTTGCCCAGTCATCAAATCATCAATCAGACTTTTTATATCCATATTTTTATGGTGTGTATAAAGTTGTTATTTCTTTTTTTATAATGGCTATTTGGTTACGGTTACATGCGTGAAATTTCTCAAGGAAGTCCACAATCGAACATTTGTTTTTTTGTTATTGCATGTGAATATGCGAAACTGCTTTAAAGGTGCTTATCCAATCACTCCTTATCGAATTGCCAATTATGTGGCAAAGTGTTTGGCATATGAAAGATTTGTTTATAAAGAAATGTCTAGGAAATGTTTAATTTTTTCGCCCATTTTCTGGTTTACGTCAATAGTTGTTTGTCAATAATTGTCTCAGTAATTTACAGCCAGTTAAAAATTTATTGCAACAACTAACTTTCCACTCAAGCCTGTCAATTTCTAATTGCTTGTAAACTACAGATTTAGTTTTCCGAGTAAAACCATAAACATTTTGAAATAATATATATTTATCTGATTGATTCCGGTAAACTTTCCATTAAACTGTTTACAGTTTCTGTTCAGGCGAAATTCGCACTAAATAAGCAGCTGTTGTTAGGCCTTTAGTTAATTTACATATATGTATATATATCAAATATCAAATTTCGAGTAAAAACACACCTTTTACAGTGCCTGTCACTAGTTTGCGATCTTTTGGAGCTAATAGCGCGTGCAGTCAACAACATTTCAGTGAAATTACACCGATTCCACACGAACAGTGAATATTTTTCGGCTACCGCAGATTATACATACACTTTCCGGTAATTATATTTAATTTTGCTTAATATTCGAATTTTTTTGGGAGTTGACTTCAGTCTGTGGCGTGTGCAGCCAAACGATGCGAGCCATTATTACCCAACTATGTAATTTTGAAGCCCAGAGTCCGAACACGATACTAATCTCTCATAGCAGCGGCTCATTGAGGCACGACGGATTGTACAGATTGGTATATAGTTTTTTTTTTTTTGGGTTATTGGACTTACCTTGCCCACCTGCTGCAGAGTCTCGAGCATTAGCTCCTTTTCCAGCACCGAGTCGAGGGCCTGAACCTGATCGCACGAGGCCTTGGCCTGCAGATACGAAGAGGCCAGGATAAAGGATCCCAAGACAAAGGACGAAACGATGATGGTGAAGGCGGTGATCTTGGCGATTTTCACCGAATTCGCCTGACGCTTGTAGGCCTGTAAAACATAGAAAAACATATTAGCCATGAGGTTTTGTGAATGCACATTTAAATGAGTTTTTTTTGTTATATGCAATTTAATATTTCTACGTGCTCTATTGTCAATGACCTCTCTGTGTGTCAGTGATTTTTTTTTTAGGGGGTCAGGTAAAAGCGACGACCTTACTCTACAAAATAGTCTTTAATACGGCTAAGCACGTTTTCCCCTTCAAAATATTAAAGTCTTAAAGAGTTCAGTGTAAATGTGCAGGGTGCAAAAAGAGATTGTGATTGGATTACATTTGTTTACAAGAAATATAATTAGCATGCATTTTAATGGCTTATAAAGTAGAAACTGAACAGTAATTAAGAAATTTTCTATGTAAATGGTATTTTGTTAAATTTTCAAGAGTCAGCAAAAAGAGATGAGACATGATTAAGTGAATGTTAAACGCATTTGGCTTTTGGCAAGTGTTTTTAAAATGCTTTAATCGACCAAACTGCGTCTTAGATCATCGCAAATATTTGCTCTGCAAGCTGAGTTCAGCCGTGACTAATATTTGGCTTTCCGCGTAAGGTGCAAAAATTTACAAGTGGATGCAAAAAGCCGCCGCATAGGAATATTCACGAAAGTGCTTAGCTATTCACGAATTCCGCATTGGGGTCTTCGATTGCATAACAGGAAACCCACCGCAAAATTGAGGAAATGGCAAGCCCAAGAGAAAACTGAAGACGAAGACTTCAAAGTGTGGGTGCAGTCAGGTGAGGCAGCTTTTTCTCGGTTATATCTATATTTTTTTTTCGAAATGTGCAATGTTTTTTGTGTGTGTGTTTTTTAACACCTTTACGTGCGTGGCTGGCGTGGCCCCAAAATGCAGTTGCGAAAGTGAATTGTGAGTGAGCTACGATCGGAGTGAGTGATCATCATCATCAACGCCAGGCGAAGTGAAGTGGAAGTGAACGGATCGCCTGGCACTCTATTTTACTCTACTCTACTTGATGAGGTTTTAATTTTTTTTCTTTGTTTTTTTTTTTTTTGTTGGTTTTGTGAAGATTTTTGTGCAGACAAAAGACTTGAGCGACAAACCTGATGATTAAAGTTAAAAAATCCCATCTGTGGTTGGTTTTTGAGTGTTGTTTTGTTTTGTGGCGAGTGCGAGGGAATAGAAAATTTCATATTGTCAATCACGGTTTTGGGTTCGGTTTCGGTTTGGTTTGGTTTTTTGCATCCACATTTTTCAACAAACGAAGGAAAAACGATTTTTGTGGTTTTTGTTTGACGTATTGTGAGCAAACACATATTTAAGGAAAAGTACATAAAAACAAGAGAAGACAAAAAGTTAATGAGATTTTACTGCATTTGTGTGGGGTCGCTTAGTAATACCTAAGGTAAAAAACTAACACACATGACTTAAAGGTAAATAATGCACAAAAGGGAAAGCTTTTGGCCAAGGGTCGATTTGTGAAGGCTAAGGCAGAGCTACTGAAGTATTGAGTAAATTATTGATTGATGGACTTTCAAGTTATTAGAAAGGTCAGGTCATCGGCTCTAAAACCCATTGATTCGCAACAAAGCCCTTGGTTATTGGTTGCAGAGTAAATATAATAATAAATATATTACAATATCATATCAATATATATATTCAGTTAAAAAAAAATAATATTTAATTACTTGATTGATATAAAGATTTTTTAAGCGATGAATTTTATACTTAATGGTTATCTTATCGTTTTTACATGCAGTCATTGGCTTGGTTTATGGCCATAAAGATCAATTAAATGACAGAAAAACTGGTATTGTAGAAATAAATTATTTTTTATAGGCAGTATGTAAAACTTTATTCAGCTTTCCGTTTATTTTATAGCATGTTTAATATTTTCTTTTATCAAAAGAGGAGTTACTTTTAATGCTCTGACAAGACCTTAATAAAGTTTTTTTCTTCGGGCTTAGGGAAGATTGTACTTCAATCGATTTTGTTAGATAACTATTTGCTTTCACTGTAGTGATGGTAAGGCGATTATAATGGGAGGGGAAAACCCTACCGTGAATGGAACCGCACAAGTAATTTTTTATGGCTGATGCGGATGCTGACTGTTGAATGCCAAATGCAAAATGTACAGTGCAATTTATGCAAATTTTTTTTTCATTTTTATTTAACCCACACATACAAAATCCCACCCAGAAATCTAATAATTTTGTATATACGAGTATATTTATGGCGTGACAGGGAAAACTAGTTAAACAAGTCAAAGTACTCGGTGGCGCAGTCTATAGTATATAGATACTGTGTTTGTTTAGGTTTTGCGTTATTAGCGTGTCGTGACTGGAACATTAGAGCTATCCGAGATTCGAATTAAGGCGGATTTCTATTTGTCCAACCATATCGGATACACAGATCCATTCACACCTTGCCAAGAAGTGAAGCAAAGTGTGCGAGTGTATCTTGTATCTTGCAGATACATAAGACTGTGAACTATCCCAGGGAAATGTCAGGCCGCAAAAAATTGTCAAAGCCGCTCACGTTGCATGCGATTCCCTCTCGGCTGTCAGACAATAATAATTTTTGAAATTGCACATTAATGGGGGGTTGGCGAATTGCTTATGCATGCGATGCAGACTGATTTGGTGAAAATGCAGCTCACGTTTGCAGCTGCGTGCAGAAAAAAGTCCGCATTGCGCATACGCTCTGTGGTACGACAGCGGATGCAATAAGTCAAAGGGTGACCCTGGCATTTTCTAACCCACTTGAACAGGTCAGTTAAACATTAGCAAAATAACAATAGCACAGGCACAAAATGTAAATCGCTTTTTAACGATCATTAGGGCAGTTTTAGTTTGAATAGCATCTGTTTGTTAAGAGGTAGCCCTACCATTTGCAATTTAAGTATCAAAATTAAAGGGAAAAATTAGTTTCACAATCTAAAAATCAATAATTTACTTTGAAAATACCCTAAGGAAAAATGGTCAATAGATTGCGTAAAAAATCTCAAATCTTGTCTCTTTCGTTTAATGGGCGCAAATAATTTCCACATAAAATTGGGAATTCGCATGTAATAAGTTTTGCCATTTGTCACACACATGGGGTAAGGGTTTTCTGGCAATTTAAGGCTTCACTGTACTCACCGGTGGCGGTTCGCTGGCGGTGCTGTAGACCTCGCTAGCCGCATAGTCGGGCTTCATTTGCACGGTAGCCATCGAGACGGTATCCTTCTCGGTCATCTATAGCACTACAAAATATTGGGGGAACAATCAGTTAGTCCTCTGAGTTGCAAACTTAGGATCCAAGCAAGGATAACTGAAGGCGAACAGTTCGTATTTAAATTTCTGGCACAGTTCTTCTTTAAGTTGAACACTTTCTTTCACCACTTTTCACTTGCTTTAATTTTTCAGCGTATTTTGTATTCCTTCACTTACATAGAGGATTTTCCAAAAATTGGACGAAAAGTAAAAGGAATTTTTCGAGCGTGTTTTTTTTATTGTTGGTTGAAAAAGTTGCCTGACCAACTTTTCAGTAGGGGGACTTTTTTGGCCTCTGGAAACTTTGGGTTACTACGTCTTTGTTGTACGACTGCCACTCGCCGTCTGAAGCCACAAACGCGTTTCGTTTCAGATTTGTCTGCCAGATTTAAAACTTTTTTCAAGCCCGTCGACAGAGGCAGCGACCGCGGCAGAGGCAGCGACTGCGGCAGAGCGGTCTCTCGCCGACATATACTTAAACTAAAACAGAAAGAGACAGCTGCACGATCAACACGAAGCCGAGGAACGAACAAACGAACGAAAAACAAAAGTTTTACTACAACAAAATGTAAAAAAGATCAACAATAATAACACACTCAAGCTGGCTGGCTGGCTTACAAACACAGTTGTGCTATATTCATGCAAGTACGGGTACAGTCTTAACTCAATTAGTAAACTCCCTGTGATGCATTTTTTTAAAGCATTTAAAAAAAAATGAGGTGTGACTTTTCCTTCACCAAAATATTTTATTTATATTTTTTTACGTTAATAAATAATAGTTCTTGGGTCTTTGTACAAATACAAAATTACCAGCCTTAACATACTTATAATTATTATAAAACTTATGCATATGTTCAATGTTTTATATTTAAAATAGTTTGAATGCCAGCTTAACGAGTAAGTACTGTCCCTATGGACTCATGCCTAGGTATAAAAAAGCTTTCGGATAAGTTGGACTTTATCGCTCATCTATAGTACACACGTGATTGTGCGTTGACGCTTACCAATTAGCCGACTGTGAATTAAATTGAATTTAAAAATAAAATTATATTAAATGATTTAATGGCTTGAGTACACAGAACTATTTTTAGAGCTTTTGTTGTTCGAGAATAAACGCATTTTTTGTAGTGAATCGATTCGACAGGCCTTGCGGCATTTAGAAGCCGACAAGGTGGTTTGAAGCCAGAAAAATATACGCTATGCAAATCACATAACGATATGCCCGATAAATGGTGTAGGGTATACGAGAGTGCGGTAAAAAAGCTCTAGCGACACACTAAAATTTAAAGGTACCCGCACAACTCCGCCAACACAATCACACACATAAATTAACAACCAGAGTAGACCTCGTATAACTTGCTCCCCGACTTAAAAGTTGTCGGCAGCGCTGCTGCAGCTGAGTTGTTCAGTTGTTGTTGCACCACTTCAGGTTGCTTACGAAAAAAAACATTAAGTTTTTGTAGTATTTTTTTGTAATTTTTCCATTGTGATTGTAGCTGGCCAAAAGCATTGGCCATACAGACACAGAATAGCAGGTAGTCCTATATAGTATTTACAATTCATCTTGATTGCTGGAACAGCTGCCGCTGCCTGCTGTTTGCTTAGATTGTGCATTATTAAAACAAATTCTTTAAATTGCTTTTTTTGCAAGTATGAAGGCTGGCCATGATTGATAAGACTATCGACGATCTGTGTTGGAAATTATTCTGATCGTGGAAGATTACTAATACGCCATGTTGTCCAACAACCAGTTTTCTTCCTCTTTCGAATTGGCTCTTTCCGATTTTGTTTTGATTTTTTTGCTTCGCGGCGGCTTTGTATCATGCTAGACGCTCGTTTATTATCTATTTGGTGACCCAACATTGGACCCGCCTCAGGTATTATGTAACCCGAAGATCAGTTTTTCGACTCTCTTCGTTAATTGCATAATTCCTAGGGTTTATGATTAAAATGTCACAAGCCAACGAACCAACGGGCAACCCACGAAATAAAACCGCTCTTGAAGTTGGTCAAACTCAAGTGATTAGTCAATAAAAAAAGTGGCTTTCTTTGTTTGTGTTTATGCAACCTGAAAGTGGAGATGGGGTACAGCATCCCTCTAATTGTGATCATCCCACAGCTAATCCCATGGCTTTAATTTACATTTTCTTTCTCTTGTTGCTACCAAATTTTTAATTACTGTCTTTTTTGTGGGTCCCCTAATGCATGGCACAATGAGCAACCAAATTCATTTCTCATTGCATCACTGATTGTGCGATCCAATAGAAATTGTGGTCTGTGGTTGGTTTTGTATTTTACAGATAACTTTACAGTATTTCGTGGAGAATGGTTTGCGTTGTTGAAAGCCTAACAAAAGAATATTCTAGTAAGCTGGAAACCCCCAGCCAGCAGCTTCAGGTTCCTCAAATGACAATCTCAATCTTTCAAAGATAAGCTTACTCTAGCTTCATCCAATATTGTTTTTGAAAGCAGTAATTAATAATGTCATAAAGCATCAAGTTTGTTAATTTTATTAGGAGATAAGAACAAAATAATGTTCCTTCATTTGATTAGTGTTAAATAAGTACAATATTTTAATTTCATTTATTTAAAGCAGTAAAAAAAAACAAGCTTTATATACAATTGTGTTATTGGAATATAAAGCGGATTGTTTTTTCTAAGAAATCTATAATTGCAAAATACACAGTATTATATTTGTTTGTATGTTGTATACACAACTTCGACGTATGTTTATTATTATGTTTTATATTTTTTGTATAAAGGGACCGGGACTTTCAAATTTTACGATCGGGGTTTTGCCTAGTATAAACACCTCCACTGAAGCTAAACTAGCCGGGGAGAAAAGAGAGAAAGATGCGCTTAGCTTGACTCGCAAATTGGCACCGGGCTTTGGATTTTGGCTCCGTCTCCGGCTGGAACTACTGCGACTTTACTGGGGAGCCGGACGGGTTTGCCGGGGGATGCCGGGTGCTACGAGGTACCAAGCGGCGAACTGGCACCGTCTTGGGCCTGGGAATTGTGTAAAATGAATACAGAAAAATAAAGAAAAAAACACATTAAACACTAACTAAAAACGAGAAAAATGAATGAAAAAAGGCAAATTCAATGCAGGTATCGGACGGATACATGCGAGTATCTGAGAAATACAATGCGCCAGAGCCTAATAACTGAACACAAGTTGATTTTGAGTGTCTCTGTGCAAAATAAAATCAAAACAAATCACAAAAAGCTCATAAATAATAGCAGCAAAAACTTAACAACAGCGGCGACAACAACAAAGTTTTTCGGTCGTTAGCGCAGTTCGCCATTTTGGCTTGGCTAAAATTAGCTAATAACGATAAAAAAAAAGGTAAACAAGAAAACCAAAATAAACTGAAAAAGTTACGAACATATGAAAAGTAAAGGAAAAGAAAATATCGAGTTGGTAGCTAAAGACATTGGTCTCGATCGCTCTTAAAAACTTGTATATTGAATTTTTAAAAATTGAGATGTTTTTAAATTGGTTTTTAACATTTCTTTTAAACAAATATAAAAATGGGACAAGGAAACCAATTTACAAATACATAGTTTTCTTTTGCAAACCCTTATTACAATTTTGTTAAATTTAAATGAGCCATTTGATATTCTCAAATTAAATATTCTTGGTTTAATGACTCTTTTTTACCCCGCCCCTTTTGAAAAGGTTCTCTTTTAAAAGTGTTCTCAATATACTTCACATTCCACTTCATTTGTTTGCAACTTTTCCCCACTCAATTAGTGCTCCCAACTTCCTAGACCCGCAGCAAATACGAATTTTGATCGGATTTGATGTGAGTCGGTCACGGGAGAGTGAACGAAGCAGTAATTACAATTGGATTTCAAATGCTTCAGCGAGTGCCGAGGGGATTTTATTTAATTTTTCATACGTGTACTTCCAGATATACTGTGTACTGTCTATGTCTCTCGGAGAAACTGCGTTCTAAGAATCGGGCATCTTTGCCCCGCATTTTGTACCTGGCATATTGGAACGAACGTGCGACCGGCGATTAACACCTCATCGTTAAAAACTAAGCTCATCCGGAGTTACCTGCGGTAAAAAACTGCCCCGCAACCTCTTCACCATCCTTGTGGGGATGTGCATGTGATGAAAGCATGCCCAAATAAATTAAGCCAATTTGGGCAGGAACAATAGAAGTTTTTTGTATGCCTAGCAGTCCGTAAATTGACAGAGATCTTCATTTGTGTTGTTTGTGTTTTTCTCTCGTTCCTCCAAATCTGCCAATTAGCAACGCTTACAGGTGTGTGTACCAGAATACAAATATATGGGTGTTTATAAATTAACATTAATATAAAGTGTTATTGTTGGGGATTCTGGAACACTCTCAGATTTTGGTTAGAGTTTAACTCCTTTCATCAGACAACCGAACATAATTCTATTAAGTCTTTATAAATTAAGTTAGATACTTTTTTGTTGGGTGAAGAAGAGGCGTGTCTTTCTTTCTTTTCTTTTGTTGTTGATTCTTATTCAGCTAAAAGTATTATAATAATTTAAGGGTATATCCGGCATCGACTTGCTTCCCCAAATATCATTTTCCGTTTACATTGTATTCCACTGCAATTATCACATTTTTCGAGGGCGGACTTGTAAGTTTTCTAGTTCAGGCTGCGAATGTCAATGACTCCTCATTGCTCTAAGCTTTTTGGATTGGAACTGCCGCTGGCCGGAGCGTTTACCGCTCTCATTTGTCAACGCCGGCAAACAGGCACAACAAAGTACATACAAAGTGCCGCCCTCGATGCCCATGGAGCGTTGCGCTTTTAACGCTTCTCCGGTATTAATTGCCTGCCAGATCACGAAAATATATATGTTTGCAGAAGAAAAAATTACCTACATTTGTAGCTGTGCATATTTCGCTTAATGCGGTATTTAAAAATGTTAATTGAAAAGAGTTACGCTAATGGAGGAAGCAAATTTGTGGGCGTTAGTTAGGAAAGTGATTTATGAAAGTTTTAAAAGAGGCGAACAAAAATTTCATCTGCATTTTCTTTATTTTGTTCTTACTTTTTATATATATAGTACCTATATAGTATAGTACTAGTATTGCAATAAAAGTTTACAAATCTAAGAGATACGGGAAGTTGATGCCTCTTAATAGTGATTAATGATGCCTCTTTAATAGTCTTTTTTTTAATGCATTTATAAGAACATTTGCTACACCCTTTTGTGTGAAGGTGATTTTTCAACATATACTAAATACCATTAAACCTTTTGTCTCGCCTTTTCTTGGTTATCCCCTTCTGATCTTCAGGACAAAGCAACCCCAAAAGTACTTTACCGCCCAAGGCTTTCGCACCCAAGTGCCAAATTCGAGAAGTCTCGTGGTCGCCACATAAAACCCCAAAGTCAAAGCCCTGTTCGAAGATACGCAGTGATGAGATACAATGGGAGTTTTACGTAGGTTCAAGTCAAGCGTTGCTCGGGGACATCCAAGTTGCTTTTTCGACAATCGCAAACAATGGTGGCAGTTTTTTCGCCTTGTTTTTCATTGCGCATCCACTTAGCAGCTCGAGATTTTCAAAATGAGATAACACGTTACATTTTGGGGATGGGTTGGGTTTTTTGGGCGAGCTTTTGCCGTCCAACATGACAAAGCTGAGAAGAAAACTATGGTAAAATCGTTTGAAATGCAAGAGATTATGTCGGTCGTAATAACAGGGGACAAAAGTGAGGAAGGTTATTGGGGGGCGCCACAAATTAATTTGCACCTTTCGCCTATGCTGCAGCGCTGCAGCAGCGATGCCGACGTCAGCAGATGTCGTGGCAGCAGCCGGTGAAAGTTGCACATGCAAATCTAAAAAAAAAAAACAGAGAAAAACTTCGAGCGCTGTCGGCAATTAAAGGCAACTTTGTTGCACTGAGAGGAAAATAAAACATGACTACTGTTTTGCAGCTTTTTGAAATTATGAACTGCAGTCTCGTTTAATTTTAAACTTATAAATTCTTATTTTAATTTATCTAAAGCTATTCAGGCTTCAGGTATAGCTAAGGAAAATGTTAAAAATATCAAAAATTAATCTAAAGATTCCTTAACCTATTTAATATAAAACGCCATCCTAGTTTCATATATGTATTATAAAATCCATAACAGAAATTATACTGTCATAATTAATGGAAAATTTCTTATCTCTATATATGCATTTAAGCTTAATTTGAGTTGAGTTAAGCCGAGTAAGCAGTAATGATATAAAGCTAATAAATATACAGAGTAAGTAGTAATAAGATAACGATTAAGACGTAATACGCTAAAGTAACCTTTGATGTTTTAATCGCGTTTCCAAGCATTTAAAGTACTTGGGGCAATTTAATTTTTTTAATCGAAACTACAAATTTCTTTCAGTGCTAGATAACAGCATAACGTGACTGGAAAAGTGCAGCATCCAGAGCAGGATCTTTTCATGTTTGGATGCATCAAAAAATGCTAGAGGAAAACATTTTTTCTTTCTTCAAGTCTCCCTTAACCGACGGGCAATGTCATAATATCTGTGGATTGACGGGTTTTCCACGATTCGCTTGACTTATGTGCGGGTTATTTGTATATTTATAGTGACTATGTATATATGTCTTTATATTTGTTTAGCGGGCACAACGGTAATCGTAATTTGTCATTTATTTGCACTTCGCATTTGAGTGATCGCAGCAGGAAGCGGAAAAAAGTGCAGTCTGCAGCGGTAAAGCGCATTGGGGTGTTTAGTTGCGTTTCACATAGTTACTACAGCTCCGAGCATGTAAAAGTCAGTTGTTAGGTAAACATGCGTTGATTGAATTTAAAATGCAATTCAAACTGCTGTTACGTTTTCCGCAGTATGGCAACGCTGAAATTGTCGAAAGTTATCGATAGCTTATGTTAACATATCAATATAATTCTTTTACTGTATACGTTTTTGAAAGACTTTTAATTATTTCGATTTTTTTAAATTTTTTAAAACTGAAAATATATTTTAATATATATTCTGGACATCCCTCGCTTTTTGCTTCAAAAAATATGTGTTATATATCGATCGGCATACAAAAAGTAAAAAAGAATTGACAAATAATCTTAGTTTTAAATGTTTATTTCTAACTTATTAGGCTGGCTTTCTAATATTCTTTGTGTTTTCTTTTGAGTCTAAATAATATTAGCGCTATCAATTTATCGATACCTACAAGTACTTCTATTACCACCTAACGCCTTAAATATTTCTTCCCCTTTGTATGCACACACTTTTTTGGCAAAATAGAAAACAATTGTTGCTTTTATTTACAAAATATTCAGTAGAAACTTAAAATATGCAAGCGGATATCAATAATGTTTCCAGAGATTATGCCAAGATCCTACAAAGTGCTGATCTAGATAAGGAAATAAATCCACTCTGCACGAATATAGATGATATGCTGGCCAGATTGGATGAGTTCGAGACTTTGCTGGCTTCGGTAAATTGTGTTCAACAAAATTTAATAAATTTTATTGTTGTTTTATTGTTGATAAAATTTTAGGTGCGTGCTGAATCCAATGGTATGATGGCCAATAATGTCTGCAGTATCCTGGGTTTTAGTGAAAGTTTCGATCAGTTACGAACGAGAATCGATAGTTTGGAGCAATTTGTGGGTGTAGTTAGTGCAAATTTAAATGAAGTCGAGAGATCCGTTGATATCGCAGAGGAGGAACTTCATGTCACGGATTATAGTATCAAAGGGCTTCTTCTAAAGCCCCTGAAAGCCAAACTGAGTGCCAGCGACCCCACAACATCCACCTCGCAGCCGCGATCCAATTTAGTTAAGGAGGAATACCAACCTGTAGAAATCTACAAATCCGATGATTTCTTCGGAAAATCGCACGAGGAAACGGAAAAGGAAGAGCCAAAAAATGGAACAGAAGAACTAACTAGCTAACCTCGTACTAAGTATTTGGTTAGTGATTAGTGAAAGCTCATAAATTCTGGAAGTATTTTTACATTTTTTAATATTAATATCGTATTTGTAATTAATTTGTTAAAAAGTTCCGTCTGTTTTGCAAAACGATAATAATTAGAAAGGAAAAGTTTCAGTTGAATGGAAATCAACTCGCGAAACAATCCCCTAAAATGCGTTTTTTATTGCTGATATTGAAATGCATTTTAATTTTACATTTCTCTGAGACGTTATTAACAGCAAGGTGGGAAGTATAAATATTTATTTACTTATTAGCGCAATTTCGTTTACATAAGCAATCAGTGTCGTTTTGAGTGAATTCTAATAATTAGAGTCTAATTTGCAGTAGAAATGGGTTCCTATTTTTTTTATAAGTGATTCATGCATTCAATTTGCCATTTTAAAGGCGAATATATTTAAAATATGAATTTTCGAAAGAGTAATTACTGATTAACTAGTTAGTTAGTTTGCTAATCTCGTACGATTTCCCATTAACGATATGTTGTATTTTTTTTAATTTTTTTTTCAATATTAGACAAGACAGCAAAAAAATTTGTAATGTTTGGTTTGGGTTTATCAGAGAATCGTTTTTCATCCATAATAACAATGCTAAGTTAAAAAAACTTACAAGGTCTGAACACTTTTTTAATTACTCGACTTTAGTTAACACATATAGTACCTAAGGAAGTAAACAAAAACAGAAAGCTATTCAATTTGTTAAACCTCCTAAAAACTAATATATCTTTAAAAATAGATAACTAACTTTTTCCCAAAATATTTGACCATTAATTATCACAAAATCTTTTTATGTAAGCATGTAAATATTTTTGTTTATTTTAATACAATTTCGTTGAGTAAAAGCTCGTGATGGTCGAATTAGCAACTTTTGGTTGTCGAAGTTTAGGCCTTGGCTTTCTCCTTGCTCTCCTTGCTTTCTTCGGAACTGGAGGAGGCCTTCTGCTTGTTCTTCTCGAAGAGTTCGGCCACGGGAATGGGATGGGGAATATTCAGATGGGAGGCTGGCGTAGTGCTTCCGGTTTCCGGTTTAGTGGGTGCTGCAGGCTCTGCGGTGGCTTTAGTTTGAGTGGGCACGGGGATGTCTCTCTGGTGGCGATGTTTGGTGTCCTTGTCCTTTTCGGCCAGAGTTGCAATTTGCTTATGGAGTTCCTCGTGGCGAGCGGGATTATGCTGGAGGGTCTCATGGGCCTTCACACTGTCAGGTTTCTGTACGGTTTCGCGCTTCTCCTTCTTTTTGGGCAACTCAGCTGTATGGGCGTCCACGGGCTTAGCGTGCGGCAACGAAAGATCCTCCACCTGAGGTTTGTCGTCCACCTTGTGACCCTCCTCGTGATGAGCCTCCCGCTTCTCGCGATCCACAACTGGAGTGTCCTTCAGCAGGACTACCTTCTCCGCCGGCTTGGGATCACTGATCACATCGGGACTAATGGGACTGGGTCTGGAAAGAGCCTCTGTCGACGCATCCTTGACCTCCAAAGGAGCCGAATGGCATAAAGCCACAAAAGCCAAAAGAATAATCTAAAATGAAAAGGAGTGTTCAATTTAATTGGTTTCACTACTTCAGTTTGCTAATAAAGCGTGTTAATTCCCTACAATTTTAGGTTTTCAAAGATTGCTATAGGTTTTTCTTTTTAGAATTATACTTTACTTATTGATAAAATCACGTTTCTACTTACAACCGACTTCATGTTGTTCGCTTGGATACTTCGACCAAACTGCTGCTCTGAGCATCGAGTCCAACCCATTTTATGAGCCCAACGGATCGGAGGCTTCTCCACTGCCGAGTTTGTTAACCAGTTTGTAATTCGGTGCTAATTGCGTTCGCTATGTAAATCTCCTCGGCGACGACTGCTTTTCCACGTTGATATTGATTAGTCTGACTAATTATAACCCGAGGAAATCGACGTCAAGTGCGCCTGCTTCTCCATAAAGCTGTATGTGGAATAAAAATATGGAAAATTAAAGCGAGTTTAGTCGGCGAAATGGGCTCAAGGCTTAGTCACGGTTCCACATCTGCCGGCTATTTAGCACCGGATCGCAAAAAAATTAAGCTTGGTTAACTTAAGTTTGGAATACTTAACCTAGCTAATTCGAAAAGCACATAAATATGGATCGCGAAGCGTCTGTAATTACGCCCTTTACGTAAGTTGACAGGTAAACATATCAATTGGCCGGTGTTTTCCGGCAACTGTACTTCCCGAGAAATCGCGACGATTTGATTGATATAGTAATTGCTCTGAATTAATATCCAATTTAAAATCAAACACATCACTCGGGCAGCTTTTGTGCTAAATATATTGCCTTGATTAACTTCAAATTGCTTAAAATAAGTCTATTCCAATTAAAGTTAAGTGTGACATAAAGGCTGTGCATTAAGTTTCGTTTAATTGTGTGCATATACTTATTTATAATTTACTGCAATTAGCTTAATAACTTCTAAGGGATTAGGTTCATCTGATTTTAATTTCAAATATCTTGGCGCTAAAAGTGTCTACACACCTAAAGGAATGATGGCGTAATTTAGTACTTTTTGCAATGCCATAGTAAGCACCACTGGTTTTTATTTTGGTTTATTATTCTGACTTCTTCCTAAATAAAACGTGTAAATAAGGGTAATAGTCGTAAATAAATCAGAATGCCCACTGAAATCGAGAATATAAACCCTAATGTCTATGACAAGATTAAGGAAAGAGTGTTGACGGCCAATGAAGAAGATGAAAATGTGCCTGATCCCTTTGACAAGCGAGAGATTTTTGGTGAGATCGAACGAAGCCGTTTGTAAAAAGCCTTCTAAAATAAATATTTCTAGATCTCATAAGAAATATCAACGATCCGGAGCATCCGTTGACCCTGGAGGAACTGCACGTGGTACAGGAGGATCTTATCCAGATCAGCGATGGCCAGAATTCCGTGCACATCAGTTTCACCCCTACTATTCCTCATTGTTCTATGGCCACTTTGATTGGCCTTTCCATTCGGGTGAAGTTGCTCCGATCGCTGCCTCCCCGTTTCAAGGTCACCGTGGAGATAACACCTGGAACTCATGCCTCCGAATTTGCTGTAAATAAGCAACTGGCGGATAAGGAACGTGTGGCCGCCGCACTGGAGAACAAACACCTCGCCGAAGTGATCAACCAATGCATCTCCGCCAGGGGTTGAATAATTTTCTATATCCCTCCTCATAATATATATCAATATATATATGCTGTTGATTTAGTAATTATAGTAATGATTTAATACACATAGTTTTCTGCTCACATCAAATGGTATTTCGTTTTACAGAAGGAAATTTTAATATTAAACCTCTTACAATGACAAAGAAAACAGGTAAAAATAATAATACTGTTTGATCACAGTATATCGCTTCCGTTTTATTTTTGTTTTAAAATATTACTACTGCATGCTCTATTATTTTTTTTGCCGATTTTTAACTGACGGATAATATCGAGGTCAGCAAATAGAGAATCTTAACCTGATTGTCGTTTGATCGATTGTTTCTTACTTGATGATCATGTAATGACTAAATATCCTTAGTTTTTGAAGTATTTCAAATTGATTGATTGATTCAGTTAAAATTACTCCTTCGCCCAAGTTATGTGACATTAATGTAAAATACTTTCCCAATTCAATTTTATCAGCGAAATCTTCATCTGTACATTTAGAAATTATATTTAAGCAGCAAAACGATCCGGGTTTGGTTGTGAAAAACTATTGACTAAAGGGTTAAGTTAACGTAACAAGACACGACGCTCGGCGGCGGCCACAGGATGACGGGGACTATCGCTTGTTTGGCGGCTCCTTTAACCGCATGTGCGGTTCCACGGAAATGGGTTTTGTGGTCTTCGTCGGATCGAACTTGTACGTCTTGACCAGCGGTCCCTTTCCGGCCTTGGCAAACCTAATCTCGTCCAGGCGCTGTCGCTCCTCGATTTCTTTCGAGATTTTCATGTTGTCCCAGGCTGAATAAGACCAAAATAGATAAATATCAAACAATCAAACAATACTACTGATACTTACACTCCTTCATTCCGCCAACAAATCCCTTTTTGGGTGGCAGTGCACTCGGGGCATGGGTCAGCATTTTCTCGATCTTAAAGTATTCCCTCACGGAGGGAATCCTGAGGATGGCCACCTGACCCAACGAGATGAAGTTGCTGCAGGCCCAGTAGGTCAAAATAGCGGCGGGAAAGTTCATCGTAAAGGGGAAGATTACGATTGGCAGTGCCCTTAGTACGTATTTCATGGTGTTCATGTTGGCAGCAGACAGTCGAGCCGAATCCGTGCCGATTTCAATGGTCAGGTACAATGTGGCACTGGTGATCATGGGTAGCAGGTAGAAGGGATCCGCCATGGTGAGATCTGTGAACCAGAAGAGACCGCCATCCCGCATCGATTCCACCGGCGTATTTGCCATCTGCCTTAGTCCCATGAAGAAACTAATGAAGAGAGGAGCCTGCGCCAATGGAACCACCATGTTCTTCAGAGGATTAACGCCTTTCTCCCTCATGAACAGCATCATCTCCTGGGCATATCGAGCGGATTCTATAGCATTTCCCGACTGTCTGGCCTCGGTCATCTTCAGCTGAAGCATCTGCATCTGCGGCATGTTATTGTTCATCTTCGCCGAGTTCCTTTGGGCAATTATGACCAAGGGGAAGATGATTGTGCGGACGGCGATGGTGCCAATGGCGATGGCTCCCCACCAGGGGATCTCCCAAGTGCAGTGCAGGAACTCCATGCAGTTCTGGACCATGCCCACTGGCGACCAGCCGCCCAATCCAATCGAGGCGAAGGAGGGTTCTCCGGACAGATTGACCACATCCATTACGTTCAAACCATCGGTGGGTGGTGGCACTGGAGCAGCTGGTATGTCGGGCAAATCCACCAATTCCGTTGTGGAAACCGCCTGCATAAATTCCCCGCTTTTTGTGGCGGAAACTCCGGCTGCAGCTGCTCCACTGCTTGCAAATCGAAGCTGGTAGGGATTCGACCATTTCTCGGAGGCCATTAGGGGTAAACTGCTGGCGTTGGTAATACCTTGTAGATGAAGATCCCTTCTGCTTTCAAAGACACCCTAAAATACAACATTTTCATTGAATTTCTGCTTAATTTCAGACCACAAACATAAGCAACTTGCAGGTTATGTCACAGGTCGCCGGCTGTATTCATGCGATTTCTACTCACCTGAGGGGAAAACCGGGTGACTGCGGAACTCAAGGCCATTGCCGCGTTCGTCGTCCTCCAAAGCTGCATCCTGTGGGCCAGCATTTCGTGTCTGTTTTCGCAACCTGGTCAAAATAAAATTGTTAAGTTTATTTCGCCTCGTTTTGACTGTGCTACTGGGCTGTGCAAGTGAGAACGAGATGGCAAATGTAAAGCGGGCGGGTGAATGGCATAAAAGAAGCAGAGGCACAGCTGTTCCTGCACAGCGCCCTCTGGCGGAAAGTCGTCGGACTATTGTTAGCCGCTGAAATTTGAAAAGAATATTAAATTGCATAATATCAAAAATGTTTTTAATTTTATTCACATTTTCAATAATTTTCTACTTTAAGACAATATAGATATTATGCTCACTTGGAATCATCCAACCCTTTCTGGCTTTTGTGAAATTAAACTTCGCTAAAATTTTGCGTCCACTGAAAATTTGAATTGAAAAACCTCGTCAATGACAGGAAATAAAAAGCCCACTTTAAAAAATGTAATAAAGTGATTCTTAAAATAATAATAAATTCAAAAAACAAATAAAATTTTGCCTTTACGAGGTTTAGGTTCATTGAATATCCTTCCTAGCACAGTCCTCAATAAAAGCCTATTACCTTTTTCATTGACCAAAATATTGTTTATAAATGTAAATGTAGTTGGAATTTTTACCCGCAGTTTTTGTTTGTAGTTGTCATCCAACGAATCGAATTAAATTAGGCACACTTTCAAACTGTCATTTTTTAGATTAAAAGTCCTATAAATTTAAGCCCACTTAATTTTTGGGAAACTACATTAATAATCTGGCAGTTTGCTGTTAGGTCAATAAAAAGTTTTATAGCAGACATCCCGGAAGGCCAACAGGTTAGACACGGGGTAATGTTAAAAGTCAATATGGCATATTTAGCAATATTTGTATCAGTTTCAGCCAAATTGATATGCACACGAGTTCAGTCCAATTAATTTGCATTTAATATAATACACTCACGGATACAGTCATTGCGTTTGGACATACTTTAATATTTTAAAGCAGTTCGATTGCTATATGAAAACTTAATTTTATAAAGCTTTAAAACTCCATTCACACATCAATTAAAAGGACTTCTGACATGCCTTTAAAAAAAAAAGTTTATGAATAAATCAAATTTTTAAAAAAAACGTAAATGTTATTTATTTTGTTGTATATTATTCAAAAGGTTCACTGTTTTACATTATTTAAAAAAGAGTGTATTATATTTCAGTAAACAATCTTTCGTACCCGATTCCCATTAGCAATGCGATACACTTTTGTGAAGATTGGCATGGGAAAAATACGTTTTAAGCTCGTCTTGATTTGGTTGACAAAACTTGCACCAATATTGACGCCTCATCTGCATAAAACTGAATCAAAACCAGTGAGATTATATTCAGACATATACATACCCCAAAATCGGCGTGAATTATTGAAGCCACAAAAGCCATTGACGTGCTTTGCTAAGCAAAACCAATTTGTTTATTAATGAAAAGAGGAAACATGAAAACCGAATAATACGGCTAAATATAACATCATATTTGGAACTAGTTTATGGCTAAATTGTGTCTGACCGATCGAAAGGTGAATGCCGAACTGCATACAAAAGCTAATCGCTTTTAACTAGTTATTCATATTTATAAAATACTATTTCTTGGGAACTCTTCTGTGATAATAATTTTAGGGACTTCATTCTTTCTTTAACATTTAGTCATGTCAAGACTACTTCGGTTTCGTGTCTATATAAAGACTGACAACTTTCAGTGGCTGTAAACGATAAAAATTCGTTTTAGACTGATTTATTTAAAATTATTCCAGGTTTCGTCAATGCTGGAAGGTGGAGTTTGAGTGCCAATAGACACTAAGCGTCATATGATTCATATTATTATAGGCCACGTTTTGTAAGCCAGCAGCCCTTATAGCAATCAAACACATAATGGGAAAATAAAATATAATTTTTACTATTAAATTAAAATGATATACGCAATATATATTATATTAGTCCGTTCATATGGAGATATTAATTAAATTATACAAAAATGTTTTTCCTCGTATTGAACGTGAATCCCCTCAACACGAGACACTTAATTAATCTCTGAACCGCCTTTATCATATTACCATGTTGTTGAAACCCACAAATCTTTTTTCGAATTAAACGCAACATTAGCATTTTCTAGCAGACTGACTGATGATTTCACTTTCTGTGATTGTCATAAAGTTTAGTTTTACGACCGTCGTGTTCTTGTCCGATGGATATCTTCTCAAGGCCATGCCCCCCAAGTTGTTTAATTAATTGGCACATCGCAAAAACTATCAACACCGTGGTCAAAAATTCAATTACTAATGGATCCAAAAATGTGGGTTTTTTAAGACGAATAACCACTGCATTCATTATTTAGGATAGATTTAAACCATTCAAATTTTAGTTTGTTAAATATAAGGTCTGCTTAGCAATAAAAAAACATACATTAATTTTCACGTTACTCTGAAAAATGTGAAGCTTGCATATTAAATATTTGATAACAGGTCGCAAGTTAGTAGACTTTCGTTTGAACTTTAAAATCTATAAAAATATATGTGAATAATCAAGTTTATATTATGACACTTATTAAAATACTGTATCAAATGACCTAATAAAAATCAAACTGTTCATTCTAATCCGATCTTTAAGGTATGACAATAACGCCGGCCATTATAGAATTATATTGCTAATTTTAAAGCTTCCTATTGCCTCTAGAACTGGTTGAACTCCACCGTGCTAGAATTTTGAATTTAAAAAACCGCATTAAAGGTGCCGCTGGAGACACGAGACGTTTTGTAGTGTTTGGATAAGGCGGATCAGGCGTGGCCGTCAACGGGTTAGTCCAGTTTGATATCTCACTCTGCGTATCAATTAAGCATTAACTCAGTTTTATGGCCCAATTTGTTAAACGCATACATTTCAGCGCCTCGCGGTCAGGCGATGATAAGAAATGGCCAAAGTAAAGGGACCATCGGATCGAACTCGAAAAGCAAAGACTGCCTTTTTGGGTGTGCCGGCTGAAACTGAATTTTAAACCATAAACTTAAGAGCTAGGCTAAACTGCGACATTGACATTGCCGCATGGGGCGATAATATTAACTTTTACTCTTTGCAATGCCCACACACTCACAGCAGAGGTCAAGATATTAGGGGAGATAGCAATCTTGGAAGTCCTGAATATAAAATGTCAGCTGCGAATATTACAATAATTTGTAAACATAAAAAACTAAAACAAGTAAAGACCTTGTTAAATTTGAAAACATTAAGTGAAACACTAGTTGCATTAAATGCACTAAACAATTAGGTGCATAAAATGTCCATATTAAATATCGCAAATTAATTGTTTAATTGATTTTATTTTTAAACAGAAAAGTATTTGATTTTTGGTTTTACCCTCAGTTGTAAGCGTGTGTCTCGCAGCTTGAAATGACTGGAAATTCGAAGAGCCAATTTGTGAGCCGGTGCGTGGCTATTTAGCCGCTCTTGGCGCTCCAGTTTGGCTAAATTCGACTAGTTTTATTGTTATTCAGATGAGTTTCCTGCAGCGGGCGCATTAGTTGTTTGAGGCATCTGGTTTCGTCTCGAGAATTCATATAAAAACTTCGCCAATTTGCCACAGAGTCACATTCAGAGTCGTCTCTCAGTTTTAGACACACGCAAAGATGTTCCGCTACGTAAGTCTAAAGGATATCCAGTGACTTGGTTTTAATTCCAAAAGATTGAAAGAAAAAATGTTTTTGAATTATAAAAACATGTTTCTAAAAATACAATATTTTTCATCAAAGCAATTAAAGTTTTTTAAGCAAAAGATTCGTAATTAATTGGTGATCCTTTCTGTTCAACAGCTGCTCATCGCCTCCGCCGTTCTGGCCTGCGCCTTCGCCGCGAACCCCTACAACCAGGACGCTGGTGCCTACATCACCAAGAGCGGTGCTGACATCTCTCCCGAGGGCAACTACAACTACCAGTACGAGACCAGCAACGGAATCGCCGCCCAGGAGTCCGGAATCGGAGGAAACCACGCCCAGGGAGGCTTCTCGTGGTACTCGCCCGAGGGAGAGCTCGTCCAGATCTCGTACCTGGCCGACGAGAACGGCTACCAGCCCCAGGGCAACCTCCTGCCCACTCCTCCTCCAATCCCCGCTGCCATCCTGAAGTCCCTGGAGTACATCCGCACCCATCCCCAGTACGTGGAGCCAGCCCAGCGCGGTCCTTCCAGGAAAATCTTCGGTTAAACTGTATCGAATGTCTGATGTGACAACCTTTTGAAAGCTTTATTACGACTTGTAAAAATGTTATGGAGGAGTTAAAATAAACGAAGATGTTTTAAAGAAAATAAGTTCGGTTTGAAATTATCATTTAGGGCTCTTGTTCCTTTAATACCAAAAAAAAAAAAAAAAAAAAAAAACAGAAATAAATATGCTATAATGCTTGGGGACAGGAAATGGAAATAAGGAGATCACTTGTTAGTTGAAAGTTTGCAGAATCAGATCCCTTAGACTATTTTTGGTTTAGACATCTTTGGGTCTATGTAAACTGTCAAATTATTATTGGTTTGTTCAGTATATTCGTACAGAGGGTATTATAATATCACTAAGATAGAGGCAAGGCACAGAAGTCCTTCAAAAGCCCATAAGGAATATACATATATTCTGTTTAGGATCACCTTAGACTTATACGACTGTCCAGTCACTCAGCTTAATAGATATCTTTCTAAAGTCTTACCAAAAGATGTGTAGTTATCGGAACGGCCCGACTTAAAGTTATTTCTATAAAGATAAATACCATAGACTTGAGACAATTGATAAAATTATTATCATATTACATTGTAAGGATCAAACAAACAGTTAGAAACAAAAAGAAAAAAATTAGTTATTACAGTTTATTTTATTGTTTACAGAATAACTTCTCTAAGCTCTCTATGAAATAAAAAAAATAATTTATAATAGTCGATGAGTTTTATGGATTGTAAGTGAATTCAGTTAAAAATTAAGCTCCCATAAACCGGACAGACGAATGGACGTACAAACGTACTTCGGTTCAGATCGTGCTGCTGATCACGAATATATTTACTTTATGGGATCTGAGGTGTATTCTTTACTGTGGGGGGGTTATGGGGCTATCAACTAGACACAGGAATTGTAGAAAGTATGTGCAATTGTCTATTTTCACATTAATTGAAGAAATAACAGATAATTACTATTTGTTGTTTTTTTTTTTTAATTTAAGAGATTTTATTATTTCGTATAAATTCTTAATAAGCTTCTAGTGTTTTTTCTTGGATAATCTTTTTATTATTATACACAAAACTTTTTCTAATCAAAAGTCGCCTCGCAAATGAAAAGATGAACAAAGCTACATTCGGTGTCGTACATTTCGCCGTTGTAGATATCCACGCAGTTCTCTTTTCCGTTCCAGTTATCGGGTTCGGTGTCTTCCCACTTGAGAAAGGGAGCTGGCTTGCCGGAAGCCACGGACACAAACTCGTCCTTCTTGGCCATGTCATTGATCCCCAGCCAGTAAGAAGTGTCTCTGTCCAGCTTTTTATCCAGAACTCTTAGCCCGATGTCGTTCTGGATTGTGAGCAGGTGACCTTCTATCTCCCTGCAGAACGCTTCAGCTTGCTCCCAATTTCGAGGATTTTCGCGTTCGACGTATATCCATTTCGAGCCAATTCGATCGTAAAAATCCAGATTTAAGGATTTTTTGTCCCGTTTGCATTGTAATTTCTGTATCGCTGACAGTTGCCGTTCGATTATCGCCTCCAATTTTGTCTCCAGATTTTCCAGCTTCTGCTTATTAAAAGTTGTATGATCGATCAACGGCCTTAGCGCCTGCAGGCAGAATGCTCCACATTGGTTTGGCTGGTCGTGCAAAAGGCACACAGAAGTGTCCTTGGCCAAGGATTCGTAAGAATACCACGTAAGGAACAAGACTAAGCAGTATGTGATCGACTTCAACATATTTATTCCGGATAACTAGAGAACCACGCGAATGTTTGAACAGAACTGATTCTAGATTGGTTTTCCTAAGTCCGATGAGCATTTGGAATAAGACTGATAGGTGTTATCAACAAAAGCTCATCAAAAAACGCACCATCAGTTTTAAAAATAAAACAATGAGAGCTTAAAGCCTGAAAACACTCCTAGTATTCATTCTTCATTTTCTTTTCATTTTCTTTAAAATATTTATATATCTTGTTATATTTAAGCAATTACAAAACAAGAAACAAAGCTAGCATAGGCAAGCCGAAGCTTATATACCCTTGCAGTCATCAAATATTTCAAAAATTTGGCTTTTCTGATGAAGAACAACGATGTTATCATTTATCTCCGTAAATTTACGTTAATTCTATAAAGATTGTTCGGTCTTTCCTGTGGCAGCTATATGATAAAGTTGTCAAATTTTTCTGAAATTTTTTTCTCAATTCAAGGGTATTTAAAAAAAACGATCTTCTAAAAATCATAGTCGTGGGATACAAAACAAAGATTTCTCAAGAAAGAAAATTCGATAAAAGTTAAAATACACCATCTGGAAGAAATCCAGTCGATCTGATCAAAAACAACGGCGTGATAATTTCTTATTTCATTCTCTCGTATGTGAGCTATCCTATATAATCGGCCGATCCAGCCCTTTCCGACTTATATACTGCGTGTAATAACTACTCAACTTTTGGGAAAGTTTCAGCAAGATAGCTTTAAAACTGAGAGACTATTTTACATAGAAACAGACAGACGTTTTGACGTACAGACGTATTTCGATTCAGATCGTGATGCTGATCAGGAATATACATATATGCTTTATGGGGTCTGAGGTGTATCCTTCAATGCGTTATAAACTTCTGAGTGAAATTAAAATACCCTCTGCAAGGGTATTATTAATCTCCCTTTGAAGACCTATAAATCTATTAAAAATTATAAATTAGAATTCTGCCACGGTTAATATGCGGCAACTCTCGTAGTTTTAAGGATAAGTTACAATTTGTTTGACATTTCCAATAAGCTTTTTTCGAAAATTTAAATATTCTTTCGGAATAAAATGGAGGCTGTGAACAGTTGAATGATTTAAAAGGGTTTAAAGTCAATTTAAGCCCGATTAACTATAATATTTATTGGCCAAGATTGAAGTGACGTAAAATTAAAGAGCTGAAGCTTGATTCCGTGCATGGCTTTTTACCTTTTTTAAGCCGCTCACGGCGCTCTAGTTTGGCCAAATTCGTTCGGCCCATTGTTATTCAGATGAGTTTCCTGCAGTCGGCCGTAAAAGTTGTTTGGGTGGATCAGGTTTCAACTCGAGAATAGCTATAAATACATTGGTCATCTGCAACAGATTTATCATTCAGGGTTGTCTCTTAGCTTCAGACACACGCACTCCTAAAAATCCGACAAGATGTTCCGCTTCGTAAGTAAACCAAAAGGATATCCCGAATATTAAGAGATAATACAAGTTTTAAATGAAAAGGTCCTTGTCAAAATAATATTCAATTAGACTTGCTTAAAAACGTTTTTTACAAAAGTGTCCTTAATTCTTGATCAATAATTATTGATCATTGTTCATACAAAAGTTATAGAAATATTGTTATAAAATTGCATTAAAAATTCATACATTTTAGGTTAAGAACCGTTTTAAGTGAAATGAGATTTTAATAACTAGCTTGGAAATAAATGTTTAAATTGGAATATCTTATGTAATTATTTTCATAAGAAACCAAAAATTTATACGACCAAAACCTTTTTTGTATGTAAAACTTTATTCACTTTTTTTTAGGTCCTCATCGCCTCCGCCGTTCTGGCCTGCGCCTTCGCCGCAAACCCCTACAACCAGGACGCTGGTGCCTACATCACCAAGAGCGGTGCTGACATCTCTCCCGAGGGCAACTACAACTACCAGTACGAGACCAGCAACGGAATCGCCGCCCAGGAGTCCGGAATCGGAGGAAACCACGCCCAGGGAGGCTTCTCGTGGTACTCGCCCGAGGGAGAGCTCGTCCAGATCTCGTACCTGGCCGACGAGAACGGCTACCAGCCCCAGGGCAACCTCCTGCCCACTCCTCCTCCAATCCCCGCTGCCATCCTGAAGTCCCTGGAGTACATCCGCACCCATCCCCAGTACGTGGAGCCAGCCCAGCGCGGTCCTTCCAGGAAAATCTTCGGTTAAACTGTATCGAAAGTCTGATATGATAATAACTTAAAGCTTTATTACAATTCATAAAAAAGAAAAAGTAAAGAAATGTTAGAAAAATAATTTTACAAATGCATTTTTTATTTAAGTCGGAGTTTCAACATGTGTATGTGGCATATATGAGACCATATTTAAGCTTGATGTGTTTTCAAGAAAAAAAATTAAAACAAATTACCTTTAAATCGTTTTAAAAGGTCTCGAAAATTGTATGTTGGTTTGGATTTCTAGTTTTGTGGTAAAAATGTCTGTTACATTTTTATTGTTTCCAATAAACATGGCAAGGTGTTATATTACATTTTAGGATTTATTAGGGAACGTTGTTATTTTTATCAGATATCAAATTATAGATTATTTAAGAAAATACAACTTTTCAATATTCTTTTGAAACCCGTATTACTGAATATTTTGAAAAGGTATTTAAATAAAATGTATTATTTTTTTCAGTCCGTCTGATATTTTAAAATTTTATATGATCGTTTTTTAAGAATAGGAATTTGTAAACAGTTTGTATTCCTTGAGTTAATTAATTTAAGGCCCAACACAAAAAATCTGCAACAAAATAGATTTCATAAAAAAATCAAGAGTATACTTTTTGGATAAAATGAAAACCAATTAATATTACTCATTTATTAAAATTCGAGCTATCTAAAATTAGTAGCAGTTGGTAGAAATTTACGATGACAATCGGCGCATTGTTAAATTTTCAAGTTCGGTTCAGATTTGAACGCCGACTGCGCTGCCGACTTTTGCCCGCATTCATACTCGCATTTGCATCTCATTAACAACAAAAGCCGCTAATCGAATGACAACCCGAATCGACTCTTGGCGCCTCCAACGTAGATACTCTTTAATGAAGAGGTAAGATCAGATCAGATAACGGGCTCGTGATTTTTTCCAAGTTCCTGTGTTTACATGACTTCCTGTATTTCAATTAGCCCTTGTTATTAAATAATATATGTTATAAATACATTTAATTCATTTCCTAACTTCTTACTTAGTTGCAGAGGGTTTAATATATCAAGTCAAAAGTTTGCTGTACAGTGAATTAGATAAAGTACTAAAAGTAGATATTCGCTACTAAAACTGAAACTATCTTACTGAGGCTTTTTAAAAAGTATATAGCTATATAATTTGGTTCGGATGGGATCGGCTTACTAGATCTTATAGGTATAATTTATAAAGACAAAGTATAGAAATAAAAATATTTTTAAAAGTTTGAAAGGCTTACGCCCTTTACTTTAGTGTCTATTATTATAAATTATAAAGGGTAAACAATATTCGCTTCAATATTTTTATCATCTCCCAATTTGGAGTAGGTACTCTTCATATATTTATTATGAATTTAAGTCAAGATTAGATAAGAAAGAGCCATTGTGGGCCAGCATCTGTAAACCGCGATCGTTGATCTGCTGCCCATACAGGTGGATATGGTTATAGGTGTTATAGAGCACCTGGGCAGTAAAGTCGTAGTAAAATCAAACAACAGACGTTAACAAATGGAACTATTAAGCGAGAAGCGTTCGTTAAACTCGGTCAAATTCATATTTTCAGATGAGCGAATAAAATTAATATTCGGACTGGCAGAAGAGTCATTTGTTTTGCGGTGTTGTAGGTGTAGGTCAGTGATCGGTGCGAGTATAAAACGATCTGTCGTCGAGTTTGGAGATCAGTAATCAATAGCAACTGTAGCAAAGCAGCACCAAAATGTTCAAGAGCGTAAGTCCCATGCGATAATTGTGATAATAGAACAGCTTATTGAGATCTACCTTCCGCACCCAAGGCGCTAATCATTTCCCTGTTCCTGGTGGCCGTCATCCGAGCTGCAGATGAATCCCAAGCCGAGATCACCAAGTACCATAACGATCTGCAGCAGGACGGCTCCTACAGCTGGGACTTTGGAACCTCCAATGGAATCGACGCCCAGGAAAGTGGAGTTGGTGGTGTTCAGGCCGCAGGATCGGTGAAATATTCGGCTCCCGACGGAACGCCAATCCAGTTGGAATACACCGCCGATGAAAACGGATATCGCCCATCTGGTGCCCATCTGCCCACTCCCCCACCCATTCCAGACTACATCCTTAGGGCTCTGGCTTACATCGAGGCTCATCCTTTCCAGAGGATCCAGCTGAAGAAGTAATCTTTACAAATAAGAACTAGATTTAAGATAGCCAAATTTTGTATACAAAATAAACTATGTTTAAGTAATGAAATAACATGAAAAATGTATGTTTAACTTACAATTGGGATAACACTTACAGGACAATTTTAAGTATTTAGTTAAGCTGAGAATACTGTTGAATATTTCAAAAAAGTTTAAGGATGTAGAAAAATTCACCTTAGTGTATCTTACTTAAAAGGTTTAGGATTGTAAATATTTTTAAAAGCGTCAAAAGAAACACTTATTTAAAAGTTAATGGGAATCAATCCTTAAACTACTAAAAATAGAATTTAAACAAATTTCAATAAAACAAAAAATAATAATAACGATAGCAAAATAAAATTTTATACGCAATAATTCCAGTAAAACAACTAATTTTGTGTTTGTTTTCTTCTTTATTGGTTGTAAATCATCATTTAATTGCAACAATTTGTGATATAATTTAGCGTTCCGATAAAATTTGGTTTCACGGCTTTAGTTTGCAACTAAAGTTCAATTGATAGATTGCAAAAATCATAGATTCAACTGCCAGACTTTGCTTCCATTGAGCTTGAATAAAAATTTCGTTGGTTACGCGCTTTTGAAGTGCCAAAAAATTATCGAAAAAATGTCACATAAAATTGTTCAACTCGTATGTATCTTAAATCACATTGAAAACATGCTCCTCCCTAGCTGTGTTAATATTATAATCATAATTATTATTTTTTTGTTTGCTTCTGAAAAGTACACCGTGCACATATCTTAGTAGTTGAATTAGTTCTTAATATGTTTGCTGGCTTCTCTAATTTCTCGCATTTTATTTTTTACAATAAGTTAACGTTTATCATTATATACCCCCTGCAGTGGGCTCTATCTTCTTGCATAGGCAACTGTTGTTAATTATTTTAAGGTTCTCTATGATTCCTTTCTGTCCGCTGTTCGTCCGTCAAAAGTCGAGAGTAAAGTTTTTGTTTTTGAAAAATGATCCTCGACTGTGGTAGATTTAAAACGAAATCTTTTCGTTAGTCGTCGCTTAAATAGGTGTAGTTTTATTGTTTAGGCCGCTTAGCATAGTTAGGGTCGGTTTCTTGAGTTCCTGGTAAGATCCGAATTAGTTATCTGTATGATAAAGCTAACGAGCAGATACGTTTGGGCTTCTCTCGCCTCTATTTTGTCTCAAGAGAAACTTCTGCTATGAACCGAATATGTGCTGCAAAGCGCAAAAACAGAGTATTTATAATTTAATTAGCAGTTTGTTCTTATCTGTCTGAAAAATGTTAACAGTCACTCGAGAAACCGGCCCTTTATCAAGATCTCCTTTTGCGCTTGTTAAAGCCGATTCCAATTGGTTTGCTTGTTACAATAATCAATTAAGATGCTTTTTGAGTAAATTATAAAAAAGAGTAGAAAAATCTAATAGATATCGTTACTTCTGGATTTTGTTGTTTAGTTCATCTAGTTTAAGTTTTAGTTTCTTTTTTTTGTGTTTGCAAAAAGTGCTATTCGCTCAAAAATTATTATATTTTTTTTTCGGTTTTCGTGTGTGTTGTGTTTTAGATCTCGAATTATATAAGTTATCGCTAAGCATTGATCGAGTAGCGTTTTTGTTTTCTTTTTTTCCTCTTCACTCGCTTTGGAGTTCACACCAATTTAGTTCTCATAAAATTACTGAAGACATACATGAACGCATTGACTCAAACTTAAACGCAAATGGGGCTATGTGGGGGATGCGGGGTAACATAGGTATGGCTTAATCAACATAATCTAGAAGACTGCCTGTCTATTTGTAAATTTCCAAAATGTCAAAATGTGTATGGTGGTTGGTATGGGGTTTAAGTTAGTGTGGGGTTAGTCTCGGGATTAAGTGTGGTGTGCATGTGCTTTCCTCAATCCTGCAGCCTGCATCCTGCCTTCTGATGTCTTTATGCAGTGGTGGGCGATGCGGCTGGGGTGGCGGCGTTGGTCAACTTGGGCGGATGCGTGGCGTTCACCACGCGATTCGTGTTGTCCAGTGTCTTCGAGTGCTGCAACTGCATCAGATAGTGCTGCTGCGTCGGCTTGTGCAGCGCCAGCTGCGACAGCGCATCATCAATGGTGAACCACTGGCGCTTGCGGCCGATGCTCCGGGGAATCCTCCCACTCGTCCAGCTCCTGGGTTACGTTCATTACAAACACCTCGGTGCGATGCATGTGATCGTTGTTCTGGAATTTTCCCCCAAAATTAGAATCACCTTGACAAGGTATTCATTCAAAACTGACCTCAAATACACCTAGGCAGCGACCCAGATCACCAACGACACCAGCCTCCTCGAGAACTTCTCGTACAGCGGTCACCGAGGGTTCTTCTTCGGGCTCTACACCACCACCTGGAACGATCCACAGCTCCGGACGACGAGAGGAGGTCACCAAGAGTACCTGAAGTCCAACAGGAGGTATCGAATAATGGCAGGAAATATCCACCTCTAAAATTCAACTCACCTCCGCCTCATTCTCCGATTTCACACAAATACAGGCAGCTCGTCGCCTGAATCCATCCTTGTCGTAAATACGAGTCGAGTTGGGCTTCTCCTTTACCATCTGAAAGACGGAAAACAAAGTCAAAATCGCCGCATACACTTACGTGGGTCTTAGTGCCTGATCCCCTCTATATTTTACCCCCTTTTGAGCATTCAAAAATAGCAATCGCTGATAAGTGACAAAGCTCTTCATATATCATTTTATAGCTTGACGCCTTTAATTTGAATGTGCGGCACATGGGAATCGTGATTCCGGTCTTATCAGATGCGAGATTGTCGAGCCATCGGCAAATTGCACCGCTGTCCGTCTGGCTTATCACTTATCAGCCGGATAGCGTGCCCTGCTCGCAAGGCGAGTGTGTTTTCCGTGAATGGTATATGGACTTTTTATGACGTTACTTTTTACAACCCATGTGGGGGAGTGCAAAAGGAACAGTATCTGCAGGCGGTTAGTATTAATGGCCCACCGTAATTCGTATAAACAAAATCGATTTGAAAACGTTTCAAACGGAGCCGACTTTAAAGTATTACAGGTGAAAAGTTTTGAGAAAGAAGTCAAAATCTAGTAATTCAAAAAAAAAAAAAAAAAAAAAAAAAAAAAAAATACAATAGTCATGGAGCAAGCGGTGAGTTAATATTTTATAAACACATTCAAATCTACATCAGAATGATTTTCAATAGAAAGACTTGCAGTTTATAACAATTATTTTAGTTATTTACAAGGTACATCTCTTCTCAATGGGGTGTAAAGCGGGTTAATTAGCTTGACTCTCTGTTTCTAGTTATTTCGGTTGATTTTCTACCGTCATTGTTAGGGTATCATCTAGTTCTATTTCGCCATATTCTTTATCCGTATGCTTACGTTTGCAGTGGTATTCGCTGATAGCAGATGCGCGTTGTTGTCTTCTTAGGCACTTGTTCTCCTCCTCCTTCTCCTTTTTATTTCCCTCTTATCGCTCTCTTGCCCCTTCTCCTCTTCCGCTGCAACAAGTGATGGGTGTGAGTGTGCGTGTGTGGGGCTGCTTGTTTGTGAGTGGGGAGCCGGTCGCTTATGCTTCTTGCGATTTTCTGCTTTTCTGGCGATCTCGTGCCGCTTTTTTCGCAGGTGCTTCTCGGCCGCTATGTCTCCCTCCTTCTCTCTACCCCTTCCGATCAAAACGGAACACAAAGGGAAATGGCGAAAAGTGCACAAACAAAATCTAAAGACGACAATTTCTGCGCTCGCACGTCACACGAGACAGAGTTTTGGTATTGGTGTTTAGTGGCGTTCGTGTGCCGTGTTTTTGTTGTTTTGAAAGAGTAACGAAAAAAGAACTGTTTGTTTGTGCCTGTGTGTGTATGTGGGTAAGGGAAAAGCGAGAAACAGAAACTTGTTGAAATTAACAAATAAAACGAGAAGAACCGAAATGAAGAAGGAAATAAAGCGCAGACAGGGCAGAATTATTTAACTACTTTGCAAAGATTGCATGTTGTTGTTTTGTGTTGTATTGGTTTTACACGGGAGAGTGTGAGGCGTATGGGTGTGTGTGTGAGTAGCTTTTTCCTCTTTCTCTTTTTTTCTCTCTTTGTCCTCAAACTAAAGATCCGATTTTTCGATCTTAGCTGAAGTTATTCGCTTTTTCAGAGCTCCTCTTTCTCCTTGTTCGCCGTTATCCCAGCGACACACATGCGTTTTCAATTTCGCTTTCCATTGCCTCCACAATATGCGCGTGTGTTTTTCCGGCTGGTCAAAAGTGTGTGAATTGGCACACGGCTGCTGGAAAAGCAAATAAAGCGTGCTTTTCCCCGTTACGTCGCGAACGAAGCCGCGCGGCGTTTTTGGTGGGTGGGTGGTTAACCGCTTTATTATATTTTTTGCCGACCCGTCCAAATAAATTGGCGATTTTTGTTTCAGTGTTGCCGGATGGTGAAATGGCTTTCCCGAAATGCTTTCGACCAACTATGAATTGCCCTAAAAAATCCCTCCAAGCTAATTGGTCATTCTCGATAGGCAATGGTTGGAAACGTGGACTGAGTCATGACAGCCTATTCATACTACCGCGTGTTTCCTAAAAATAATAAACAAACGGTGATAAAAGACAGTTTATAATACCATAAGAACGAAATTCGAATATGCAAAAATTTTTAAATTAATTATCAAAATAAAGGAACGATCAACTGGAGTTTACGCATCGATGTGGTGGTGATTGTCATCGCTACCCGTTAGTTAGACTATGCACGCGTTAAGAACTGGATATTTCTGGCAACACCGGAGCTTAAAATTGTTTTGGCTTGGTATTTTTATTGTGGCGAAAAGCTTTGTGCCTAGTTCATTAAATGGGCGCTGGGTGGCGCTATAAAAAAACGTTAAGCTAAAAAGTTTTTGAAAAATATATACAGAAAGTTAATATGCACAGTCAATATAAGAATCATTGCCACAGTTTTAAATAATTTTCAATGTAACTATTAATATTTCGGCTCGTTAGATAGTTATATAATTTTAAAGGAAGAAATTCATTAATGAGAAAGTTTTGCTCGCTTTAAAAAAAGAATTAAGAAAAGAAAGAATTAATCAAGATGAGTATCGTGTATGTCGTAGTCAAAGTCTTAACTATTCAGCTTTTATATCTGGGTTTTTAATAGTTTTTGTTAGGGCCCAGAATTAACCTTAGATTTTCTTTAAGCATTTGAACTCTGCACACAAATCCGTATGATTTACTAGCTCGAAACCCCAACGCCGCCCAAAGAGTCGCACATTTTTGAGTCGCTGCCAGGAAACTCGGTGCAGGATACACTGAAAAGAAGGGGGAGTGCGAAGGGGGGTTTCGGGCAGGTCGAGGGGGCCGACTTTATGGCCAAGGCAGTGCGAGTTACCCAAAATTTGTTTCTTGTCCTGTTGTCCGTTGCTGTCGCAGGCTTTGTTGTATGTTGTAAGCTCTTAATGCAACTACTTAGCATGGAGGATTTGGGAAGGGGCAAGTCCTCGGTGTCCTTGGCTTGTCTTAACCATTTTCGGGGGCAACTCCTCCCCCGATTTGGCTCCCAGTCCGATCTACTGATTTTTTGCTGGCCGCAGCAGAAGCAAATTGCTTATTTCTTAATGCATTTGCCATTTCCTTTTTGGCTTTTCTTAGACAATTTCCCCCGGTCTCTAGTCGCATGAGTTATGGCCAATGCTTCCATTTTCATTTCCATTTTCTTTTGGGTGACCATGCAGAAGTGTTAAGCAGTTTAACGCGCTTTTTCCATGGGCTTCTCGGGCGCCTTTTTCCTCATCTCCACCATGCGGCACTTGTTTAGATGTTAATTCTGCCAAATCGATCGGTGGCCCGGCTTCCGCTTCCTGCCCCGCCCACTTTTGCGATGGAGAGGCGGCATGCCTCGGTGCACATAAATTCAATGTCATAAATTTGGCAAGAGGCGTCGCTCTGGCTACCAAAAAACTTTGCCTATTTGATGCGTTCGTGTGACCTCAGCCAGATAGAGAGCAATGAAATCAAATGTGGTCAGGGGAAAATGGCAATGGAGCAGGGATCCTTAAACTGAGATGCTTTTAATATGGAGCCATTCCACTTTAAGATATCACGTATACGTATATTGCTGAGCTTGCACAGAGGTAATAAGCAATAAACTTAAACCGAATTAAGGAATTCGTCAATATAATTTAACAATAAAAATATTTGGTTTTTGTTATGTGGATACTGCAAAGTGCTTTTTGAAATATATTCTATCAGAACCTTGATCGCAATTTTAAAATGGGGTTTGTTTTAACTTATAACAGCGATAGAAAAAATAAGGTATAATAATTCCACTGCTCAAGGGAATAACGAACTTGTATCATGACTGATAAAAATAAATTTATTTAAAATACATTTCAATCAACTAAGTTTGATTCTTTTTTTTTTTTTTAATTTTAAATGTGATGTTTACAAATATTTTTGTCAAAAGTATTCTTTTTCAAAAACTATCTGTGAAATCCATAGACCAAATCAAATTGCACTTATTTTCATCCTGCCTTCATTTATTTTTTGTTTTGCAATTTCACTATTTTTTCGTGCTTTTCCCCCATAAAATTGTTTTCCTTTTCCTTTCCCTGTTTCTGTTTTTTTTCCAACCTTTTCCTGCGGCTGTTGTGGTCAACGCTCGTTCGTCCTGTCTACTGTCATTGTCGTTTCTGCCCTTTTTCCTTTTCCATTTTTTCCCCTTTTCCAGGGAAAACTCCTGACCACGTGGCAGGGAAACTTCATGAATTTAAATGAACCCGATTCCCTTAAGTTACTGTTAATTGAGCCGGCAAATGGGATTCAATCCGAAGGGACTTTCCAAAGTTGCTGACTCCTGGCGCAGGTGTCGCAATCTGTCGTTAATTCACTAATCCCACTAAGGCCACGCCCCTGTCATCGGGCAGGGCCAACTTGGCCGCCCCCTTTTCCTTGGCAGCATATTGTTTCATTTGAACTCCCAAGGAGATGGGCGGAGATAAAGGACATGGAGTCACCTACAAACGCAATTTGGCAACAAAATGCAGCAAACAGCCAACAAAACAAAGCAACAAACATGCAACAGAAACAACAGCAATGTACTACCCAGAATTATACAATTTATGCGATTTACGAGCTGGCTCCTTCGGCTTCTTACCTCCAGTGATGCTTAGATGGCCTTCTTAATAATACTTCAGTTGCCAAAAAGTTAAATAATACAAAAAAATAAGTATTTAATGTAATAATTTTATAAAAAAGTAATTTTTACAATGAGGAAATGGTTCAAAAAATATATTATTAAGAACATTAAGGCTTTGATTTTATCTTGTATTCTTTTTTTAAGCAAAGAATTTAAAGAGGAATTTTGGAAGGCAAAAATGTAAAGTACTATTTTTTTTAAATAACAATTTTGAACTCATATTTGATTCAGTATAAATGTCTGTTTGCTAATTTAATCTTTATTAATCTTTATAATTATTTGGGAAGTTTTTTGAATAGTTTAAATTTAAATTTTTTTATAAAATAACCCAATGGCATCACTGGCTATGAGTCGGGAGTCTTTGTCCTGCTTTTTTTGCCAGCGGGCTGGAAACTATTTCTATTGCTGCGGCGCCGACATCGCCTGGGCAAGGATATGCCGTATTTCCGTTTACATAATAAATTTGCTAACCACGTTCTGTCCTCGTTGTGTCCTCCCCTGTTCCTCTCCGGCTCGCCACCCGCTCTTCCTGCAGCCTTTCCTCCTCCGAGAGAAATGCGGCATCGCCACCAGCGCCGCCATCGCTTGGCATCAAGTGCCTCGTGGTTTTCTGCATCTGGGGACGAGGTTAAAGTTGAGGTCGGAGCAAAAAGAATTTGGACAGCTACCGCAAAAGGCGAAGACCTCTGCGATTTCTACTCTTTACGAACTTTAACTGACTGAAATTGCCGCTGGCTGCTGTGACAATTGTTTGCCACTTTTTTTGACGGAAGTCCGACGGCGACAACTACTTTTGCTTGATCACTGGGCGGCTGCTGGTCCGGTGTGGCCTCTAATTAATCTATTAAATCGAAACCACAAACGAGAGTCCAACGCGCCTACAAAAAACCAGAAAAAGGCTCTCTAGAGACAACGAAGTTTTATGTACCCTTTTCATTTATTATTGGTGAAACTGCTATTAAATTCAACACTTAAGATAGTTTATTTTACTTGCTATTAAAGCAAAATATTTTTTCTGTAACTATTATTGTCATTCTAATTGTGATTTTTTTTGTTAGGCAGGATATTCCTGATTTGCACAGCTCAAATTTGTATAATTACAAATGGAGTAAGCTTCTCAGCTTTATTTTACGAGAGTTATAAAAATAGTTTTAATATCAATATGGTATCAATTATTATATAAGTTAAAAAAAGTTTACAGTAAACAATTTTGTAGTATAGGTTATTTTATATATTTCCATGGAAAATTGTATTGTTTTTGAATACAAAAGTAAAAATCTTAAAAATTGTGTAAAGCTCTAAAATTGCTATGCAGTTCAATACCTGCCTTTGAGTTCACAACACTCCTTCCCAGGGTATGAATAACCATATAGCCATCATTGAGGAAGTTGTCTCCGCTGGGGAGTTGATTTGAATTGGCCCCAACCCGATCCGTCGAGTGCAGCCCAACTGGCCGCTTCCGTTTTCCGCTGGAAGTGAAATCTGTTCGCGGCGGATGCCATAAAAATGCCAACTTAGTGGGCAGGTACATATAGCCAGTCGTTTCTGGGCGTGGCGAACGCTGCCACCACCCAGCTCCCAGACCTCTCCCCTTCTTCCCACACAGGTAGCTCCAGAATCGAAACCCGTCAGCTGTCCCGGGGGTTCAACAACCCGATCCTGACTGAGCTGCCGTTCGTTCTACTAATGGCTTGCCACACTTTACATTAGCGTCACAATTTATTGGCCGACTGCTGCGCCGGCGCAGACGCATCTCAGACCGCTGCACTCGGAGAAAAATAGCGCACTAAATATAGAACAAATTCAGATTTTAAATGCAATTACTACTATTTTTGTTGCACAGGACCAAGAGTTTGTAACGTCATTGAAACTCTGTTCACTTATTTTTAAACAAAAATGTTAATTATCGTACATTGATAACATAACATAACATAACATAACATAATAGTTAACATAACTGAAAATGTATATTCTTTTAAATTTGAAAGTAATCGTTAATATATGTAAACTAATTGTTTTCAAACTGCTTCTTTGACTGCTGTATCTTTTTTGAAGAAAAGGTTAAGCATTTAAAAAAATTAATTATTTTCATAATAACTCATCAGTTGCATGCATATATTGTAAAAAATTTTATTTAAAGATTTAAAAACGAAATCTACACTAAACCACTTAACCATATAATATAGACAAAAGCAAACAATTTAAAAAAGTCTTTTATGGAAAATGTTTTTTAAGCTTTGTCAATATTTATGTTATATATAAATGATATATATTATATA